TAAAAAAGGGCCATGAGTGGAAAACTGCATTCAATACCAGGAGTGGTCATTACGAGTATACTGTGATGCCATTCGGTCTTTGTAACGCCCCAGCAGTGTTTCAAGAATTTATTAATGACGTCTTACGAGAGTTAATTCACTCATTTGTGATAGTGTACTTAGACGACATATTAATATATTCAACAGATTTACATACTCATCACATGCATGTTAAAACAGTTTTGAAAACCCTTCTTGTTAATGGTCTTTATTGTAAACTAGAAAAATGTTTATTTGACCAATCCGAAGTACAGTTTTTAGGTTATGTAATTTCTGCTAAAGGTTTTCGTATGGATCCCCAGAAGCTTTCTGCTGTCATGGAATGGCCTTTACCTCAGGGTCTGAAAGCCATTCAGCGTTTTCTTGGTTTTTCTAACTATTATAGATGCTTTAGTTAAGGATTTTCTTCTATTGTAGCGCCTATAACACGCATGACTAAAAAGGATGGCAATACTCGTGTCTGGTCCCCAGAGGCGCTTGAGGCCTTTGAATTTCTTAAAACCGCGTTTGCCTCTGCTCCTATTTTACAGCATCCTATCCCTTCTTTGCCTTATATTCTTGAAGTTGATGCTTTGGATATTGGGGTAGGTGCTGTTTTATCTCAAAGAGAATCACCTGATAAGCCATTACATCATTGTGGCTACTTTTCCAAACAGATGTCCAAAGCCGAAAAGAACTATGACATAGGCAATCGAGAACTCTTTGCTATTGTTTTAGCACTTAAGGAGTGGAGACATCTTTTAGAAGGTACCAATGACCCCATCCTCATTTTTACGGATCACAAAAACCTTTCCTACCTTAGTGAAGCCAAAAGACTGTCTTCTAGGTAGGCCAGGTGGTCACTGTTTTTATCTCATTTCAATTATATCAACACCTACAGATCAGGTGATCGTAACACTAAAGCTCACGCTCTGTCCAGACAATTCGAAACTACCGACAAACAAGAGATTGATAATACCCCTGTCATTCCCCCGGACAGAATAATAGCTACTACAGTTCTATCTATTTCTTCTTCACTCTTACAAGTTATACAGGCTAAACAAAACATGGCACCCAGTGAGGAACCTACTGATAAATTGTTTGTTGATGTTCCCGAAAGACGGGACATTATGTCGTTATATCATGACGCCAAAACTGCTGGACATCCTGGTATTTCTAAAACCTTAACAGCAGTTTCTAGATATTTTTGGTGGGCTTCCTTATGCAAGGATATCACCGATTACGTTCGGGCATGTACTACTTGTGCCAGTATGAAGTCTTCTCATAGAGTTCCTTGTGGGTTGTTGTACCCGTTGCCCATACCCGAGAGGCCTTGGTCCAATCTATCCATGGATTTCATTGTTGACTTGCCTCCTTCGAATGGCAAAACAGTCATCCTAATGATAGGGGATCGATTTTCTAAGATGGCTCATTTTGTGTCTCTTGTCAAATTGCTCTCATCCAAGGAACTTGCTTCTATCTTCGCCAGGGAGGTGTTTCGGTTGCATGGCATTCCTGTATCAATTGTATCCGATAGGGGTAGCCAATTTATTTCCAGATTCTGGAGAGCTTTTTGTTCAGAGATGGGTATTTCTCTCTCGTTTTCCTCCGCTTACCACCCCCAGTCTAATGGAGCTGCTGAACGTGCCAACCAGTCCCTAGAGCAGTATCTTCGTTGTTTCGTATCCCACAATCAGAACAATTGGGCTGACCCACTTCCTTGGGCTGAGTTTGCTCGTAATAACTCTGCTCATGAATCTTCCGGTAAAAGCCTTTTCTACGTTGTTTATGGCCGACATCCTGTTGTTCTTCCAGCTGCAGTCTCCTTACATGGAATGCCAGCTCTGGATGAACATTTGGCTGGTTTACGTACTACTTGGGAGCAGGTTCAGCGTTCTTTGGTGGACTCCGCTGCTCGCCAAAAGGTTCAGGCTGACAAGCATTGCAGGGCGGCTCCATCCTATGTCGTGGGGGACAGGGTTTGGCTTTCCACTCGCAATATCCGCCTTTGTGTGCCTTCTATGAAGTTGGCCCCCCGTTTTATAGGTCCTTTTCGTATTTTACATAGAGTTAATCCTGTTTCATATGCCTTGGATCTTCCTAAGAACCTACGTATTCCTAACGTCTTTCACACCTCCTGTGTAACCGCTATACCCAGCATGTTCCTCCTCCTCCTCCTCCTGTTTCTGTGGAGGGTCATGAGGAATTCGAAGTAGCCGCTGTACTTGACTCTCGTTTTCTCGGGGGTCGACTCCAGTACCTGGTGCATTGGAAGGGTTATGGGCCTGAGGAACGCAGTTGGCTTACCGCTGACGCTGTTCATGCTCCTCGCCTTGTGCATTCCTTTCATTCTCGTTTTCCTGCCAGGCCTGGTCCTCCCCGCCCGGTGGTTGTGTCTCCAGGGGGGTACTGTAGTGGTACTTACCTTACCCGGGGGCCGGCCGAGGTCCTCTCTTCCCACCGCGCACGGCTCTCAAATGAAGGTGGGCACGGACCGCGAGATGTGGTCACGTGTCCCGCCTAGCTCTAAGAGTGTACCGCGCGTCTCGGCACGCTCTTAAAGGGGCAGTGCGAGCCAAATAATACAATGGTCTCCCATTGGCCCCTGTCATCCCACATTCCACAGACACTCACATTTTGGGGGTGTGGATATGACAGGGGCCAATCAAAGTAAAGTTTAGGGTATTTATACTTACCTCTCCCTTAACTCCCTGTCCTATCGTGGTTTCTGTTTCAGTTCCCTTTAGCGCTTGTTGTGTTCAGTTGTGTTTTTCGTGCTTGACCTTGGCTTTGATTCTGACTCAGTTTATCTCTCTATCCCTGTTTTGCCTTGTTTGCCGGCTTACTAACTACTGTGTACCAGACCTTGGCTAGTTTTTGTTCTCGCAGTCTCTTTGTTCCCTTGACCTCGGCTTGTTCTTGATCCCTGTTTTGCCTTGTTTGCCGGCTTACTAACTACTGTGTACCAGACCTTGGCTAGTTTTTGTTCTCGCAGTCTCTTTGTTCCCTTGACCTCGGCTTGTTCTTGACTCTGTCTATTCTCTGCTATACGGTGAGTCCGGCCATTCTAAGGTCCGGTAAGCCGTATCTGCTCTAGCTGTCGATTGTTGGACTAAATCTTGCGTGTAGGGGTAAACTACCGTGACAGTAGGGGGCTGTATGGTGGGCTGTATGGTGGGTAGGTGGACTGTATGGTGGGTAGGGGGACTGTGAGGTGTGTAGGTGGGCTGTATAGTGGGTAGGGAGGCTGTATAATGGGTAGGGGGCTGTGAGTAGGTAGGGGGGCTGTATGGTGGGTAGGGGGACTGTGAGGTGGATAGGGGGCTGTGAGGTGGGTAGGGGGGCTGTATAGAGGGTAGGGGGCAGTATAGTAGGTAGGGGGACTGTCTGTGAGGTGGGGGCTGTATGGTGGGTGAGGGGGGGTCTGAATGGTGGGTAGGGGGCTGTAAAAAGGTAAATACCTTTTAGTTTCCTGTTGGTCCGGCGGGCAGCTTTCTACCAACATGCCTGGGGCATGTTTGTGGGAGGCGGAACTTCCTTGTTGGCTCGGGGCATGCAGCCGAAATTGTGTAGACTGTGCAGGACGGCTGACAGGTCTCCCTGCGGCCATTGGCAGCCACACCAGCCCCCAGCTCCTCCCTCCTTACTTCCATCGGACTGACAGGCTGGCACAGTCCGAGGGGGGGATTTATCATGATGATCATTCAGGGCTGTCTGCCCAGCCCCAGCTTGCTGCGGCCCACCGGGAAATTTCCCGGTATTCCGGTGGGCCAGTCCAGGCCTGCCCGCCGCCATCTGTTGTGGCCACGGCCCGCGCAGTATAACCGCTGGGGACACACGTTAAGGGGCACATCGGGTGGCCCATGCTGTTAGGGCCACCCGATGGCTATGGATTTCCGCTTTAACAGCATGACCAGGCACCCTGTGATGATATCACAGCTGGGAGGAAGTGACTGCCCCGTTACTCCTCCCAGCTTACAACGAGAGCTGCGCAGGAGGAAGAGAGGAAGGAGTCAGAGTGGGAACTCTGACTCCCATCAGGCAGAGCCATTGCTGGACCCCAGGGAAGTCACCCTCCTGCATCTAAAAGGTAGGAAACAGCAGAGTGACTAAAATATTTTGTATATGTGTGTGTTTGTTTGTACGTATGGCCGCACAGTACAATTACCGGGGCCCCCAGGTGACCCATGCTGTTAGGGCCACCCGATGGAAATGAATATCATCAGAGTGGGCCCGCAGGGCCGGTGCAAAGAATTTTGGGTACATAGGCGAAGATGCATTTTTCCGCCCCCCCAAAAACATCTTCACCCATGTGCCTCTTAACCTCCCTTTTGTGTTTCTTATCCCGTCTTTTAAATATCTGACTCCCTTTAGTGTATTTTATCTCCTATTTTTGCCTTTGTGTGTCTCCTATCTCTCCTCTTTGTATGACTCTTACATCCTCCCACATTTTGTGTCTTACTCTTCCCAGCCCCTTTGTGTGACTCCTTTTCTCCCAGCCCATTTGTGTCTTTTATTCTTCCCAGCTCCTTTGTGTGTGTCTCTTTCCTTCTCAAGCCCCGCTGTGTGTTTCTTTCACATCCAGCCCCTCTCCCCATCCCTTAATGGTCCCCTCCCTTCTCTGACCCTTACTGTTCCTTTCCCTTCCCGCCTCTTTTCCCTGTCCCTTAGTGTTCCTCTCCCCTCCCCATCTGTTCCCTGTCGCTTAGTGTTCCTCTCCCCCCCTCCCTCCTTTTCCTGTACCTTAGGATATCTCTCCCCTCCTCTCCCTGTCCCTTGGTGCGCCACCCACCCCCATAGTGGTCCCCTCCCCTTCCTGGTGTGCCTCCTACCTTTTTTTGTAGCGTGGCTGAGCGGAGCGAATCCCGGTACACTGAGCTTTTCCTGTAAGTTCTGCCAGGTACAGGAAACAGAAGTTCCTGTACCACGGTACACTCCGCTTGGCCACGCTACAGTCAGGGGTGTATAAACACTGACAGTCACACACACTCAATGACAAACATACAGACATCTCTGACAGCCAGACTCACTTATCTGACACACTCATTCATTGACAGACACTCACACGCACACTGACAGACTCATTGAAAAACACACACTGACACACACACACACACAAACTCACAGACACTGACAGACACACGTACTCACATGCGCACATGCACATACTGACAGACACACATACTCACACACACACTGACAGAACCACACATACACACACACATACTGACAGACACACATACTCACACACACACTGACAGACATACTCACATGCACATACACACACTGACAGACACACATACTCACACACACACTGACAGACACACATACTCACACACACACTGACAGACATACTCACACACACACACACACACAGACACACACACACACACACACACACACACACACACACACACACACACACACACACACACACACACACACACACACATACTCACACACACACTGACAGACACACATACTCACACACACACACACACACAAACTCACATAGTCACATAGTCACACACACACTGACAGACACACATACTCACACACACACTGACAGACACACTCACACACACACACACACACTGACACACACACACACACACACACACACACACACACACACACACACACACACACACACACACACACACACACACACACACACACACACACACACACACACTGACAGACACACTCACTCACACACACACTGACAGACATACTCACTCACACACACACACACACACACAAACTCACATAGTCACACACACACTGACAGACTCACATACTCACATGCACACACACACACAGAAATTAAAAATCTTAATTCAATTTAAATTTCCCACCCAGCCTCCCTACCTGGAGAGCTGGCGTGGGTCTCTCATTGGTGGTCCAGTGGGGCTGCTGGGAGGCTTGCGGCTGAATTGGATTCCTAGGTGGCGAGGGAGCTCTGATCTCTCTGATCTGCTCCCTCGCAGGCTGCTGACTGATGCCGCGGGAGCCGGAATATGACGTCATCAGTCAGCAGCCTGCGAGGGAGCAGACCAGAGAGATCAGAGCTCCCTCGGCATCCAGTTCAGCCGCACGCCGCGCCGGGGATCCAGAAGGTGACCTGGCAGGAGGGAGCACTTCCCTCCTGCCGGTCACTGGAATTTTGCGCCCCCAGAGCCGGTGCGCCCTAAGGCGGCCGCCTGTGCCGCCTTATGGACGCGCCGGCCCTGTGGGCCCGGTAACAGCGCGACCGGGCCCCCTCTGATGATGTCAGACGCTGGGAGAAAGTGACTGCCGCGGTCACTCCTCCCAGCAACCACCAGGAGCCGCGTGGGAGGTTGCAGAGGGAGTCAGAGTGGGAACTCTCACTCCCATCAACCTAAGCCACTGGACCCCAGGGAAGTCACTAAAATATTTTGCATGTGTGTGTGTTAATGTATGTGTCTCTGTGTGTCTATTTATGTGTCTGTATGTATCTGTGTGTGTGTGTTTATGTGTGTCTCTGTATGCATGTGTCTGTCTATGTATGTGTCTGTATGTATGTATGTGTGTCTGCGTGTGTCTATGTATGTGTCTGTATGTATCTGTGTGTGTGTATGTATGTGTGTGTGTGTCTATGTATGTCTGTATTTATCTGTATGTGTATGTGTGTGTATATGTGTCTTTGTATGTGTGCCTGTATGTGTGTCTGTATGTATCTGTGTATGTGTGTCTATGAATGTGTCTGTGTGTATGTGTCTGTGTGTGTGTCTATGTATGTGTGTGTGTGTGTGTATCTGTATGGGGTGGCGGTGGGGGGGATGGGTGGGCCCCATGGATCAGTTTTGTACTGAGGCCCCATGGATTGTGTGTACGCCACTGCTCTCATGAAACAACTGATTACTTAATGCCATAGTAAAGTTGAGTCTCAAGCTCGTCAAAGGATTTTTTTCAAGTTTTCACCTTACATTTAGTTATTACATGATGCATGAGAGTGTGCACGTATATATATCTATGTGTTGTGACATGTTGCAAACATGACTGTCTGTCTCCACAGAACATATGTAAAAGGTGACTCATGATAAAAAATGACTCATGATAAAAACAAAAATGTAATAATAAAAAATCTAAACTTAGATTAAAATCTACAATAGAATTTTCGGTGTTCTTTTGGAAGGTATGTGTATCTGTGTGTGTGTGGAGGATGTAACGGGGTTATTTCCTAAAGGCGAATGGCCCCCGTATTGAATGGGTCAAAAACATCTGGCAGCATATGTGGCTATTTGGACTGCAAATTAAGGACATTGTTCACACTATTTAACAATGCATGCCTGGATTTCGCAATTCAGACTCTGAATGCCCCTGAATTTGGTGTGGATTTCAACCCAACACCATCGAATGGCCGACAGCCAGTAAGTAAACAGTTAACTAATCCTTGGCAGTGCAAGGGTTAATTGTGCTTTCAAATTATCAATTTAGTTGTAAATCGTGAAAGATCATTTGCGAATGCGCATCCTACCGGGTGCATTCGCTGCATCAGTAATATCAGTGTTTTGTGAATCTTCTAAATGCTATACTTGTGTAGGATTCGGATGCAAAAGCAGTGATTTTAATCCAGACACTGAATGCATCCAGATGACTGCAGGTTTGTTGGGACTGACCAAATTCAGCCATTTTCAACTGATTAATCTGATGTTTAGCAAATAACCCTGTAAGAAAGGACTTTTGTAGACTACATATGCAAAGACTGCAGTGGACAGCATTGATGTAATGATTAAAAATGGAAATCCGTGGAATGCGTGGAAACCTTAACTTCTTAGGATTTGCCTTTTGCTGTGAAATGCTCAGTGGTGGATACCGTATATCCTGGTACATACGTGATGCTAAAGTTTTATTACAAAACAAGATACAATAGTATTGTTTTAACAATGAAACAACTATAAGTATGAAAAATATAAACCCTCCATTAATCTATAGTGACCTCACGTAATTCATTGGATCAGGTAAAACAGGATAGAAGGACTGTGTTATATTTTCCTTTAATTTAGATCTTGTTCTGCCGCTCCAACAACACAATGGAACATGTTCATACATTCTGATGTAATTTAGTATTAGTTTGCTAGTGTGTTTTGATATAATTTTAGCCAAATATGCTTCCTAGCTGCTTTCAGGGAGTCTGGAATGCTACAGCCCAAGTCGCTGAAGCTTGACTGGGGTTGCTTAGAACTCCTTCCATATTGGACTAGAATGCAGCTCTCTCCATCCAGGCAGGTATCATCGCCTTTGTGCTTTCAGGCCTGGCTCTTTTTAACTTGTCCTGAAATCCAGGGACCAAGCAGCCAGCCAACAGATACAAAGACCTATGATCCCTAAATAACAAACCAGGACACACAGTTCCAGATGGAACTAAACCACAATACTTTTTTTTTTTGAACAAGTACTAACCTAAGCCGACTTGTCCTTAAGTATGTGGTGAAAACCATAAAAGCAACACAAGAAAATATACATAACTAAAAAAATAAACGACATATTACTACATCAAATACAGAATACAATCACAACTATCCAAACTATGGAACTACACAGATATGCAGATGCCATTTCAGTTTTTTTGCACTTTCCTAATTTGCATATTGTGATATTACAAATCAATGCATTTCCCAGTTTAACCAACAGAAGGCAATGGAGAGTCATCACAAATCTGTAAAACACCTTTTAAAACAAGAGTGTTCCAACCTTGGAACCAAAACCAGGGGGGGAGCAGTAGCCCTAGTGTACGTTTCCTCCCCCAAAACAGAACCCCATTCCAGACCAGGGCCCAAAGTCAGCGGGATGAGGCTAAGGCAGTCATGTCCAAAGTCCGGCCCGCAGGATATGGCCCCACAGGTAATTTGGTTAATCTATCTGTTGTGCCACCCAGTGAATCCCCGAGCACTGCAAAGGATCCCTGGATCTTTGAACACCGCTGTCCTGGGCAGGATTTGGTTCCTTCTCCCTGGAGGGACAGAATGAAGGGACAGAGAATGAAGGGGCAGAATAAAAGAGAGAAGGGGCAGAGAATGAAAGGGCAGTATAAAAGAGAGAAGAGGCAGAGAATGAAGAGGAAGAATAAAAGAGAGAAGAGGCAGAGAATGAAGGGACAGCATAAAAGAGAGAAGGGACAGAATAAAAGAGAGAAGGGACAGAATCAAACAGAGAAGGGACAGAATGAAGGGACAGAAAAAAGAGAGAAGGGACAGAATGAAGAGAAAGAATAAAAGAGAGAAGGGACAGAATAAACAGAGACAGAATAAGAGAGAGAAGGGACAGAATGAAGAGAAACAGAATAAAAGAGAGAAGGGACAGACTAAAGAGAGACAGAATAAAGAGATGAAATGAAAAGTATGCCGCTTGCAATAAATTTTGCATAAAATAGTTAATTTGCATTTAATTTTAATGGTTCAAAGAATGTCAGGCAAAATGGTCGGCCCTCATGCATGTTCACTTCATCAAATTTGGCCCTCTTTGAATAAAAGTTTGGACACCTCTGGTCTAAGGTAACAGAGGATTCTGTTACACCATTATATATGATGATAACGTCACATAAACACACGTGCTGGGCCCAAAGCCTACTCAATGTACATCTACTCAATAATCCACTGTTCGAATGGAAATTGATCCTATTATGAACACCACAAGACTTACCCATGTATTTCATCTTTATGTTTGGGCTGACCCCATTTAATCTCTCAGGTCATCTCCTAAACAGATTACTGTAAGTAACCTGTAACCAAGACACCCTACCTGAAAAACAGTGATTTTTAATAATGTCTACTTTTTGTATATTGTATTCATCTTAAAGGACCACTCTACATCCATAAAGCACTTCAGCTTGGGTAAGGAGCATCCCATTTTAATCACACTTTATAAAAGTGCCTATTTCTTTGAGAAATAGGCAGTTTTATAAATAAATTATGAAACATCTCCCTTAATGTCAATAATACAGCCAAGGAGAATTTCTGAGCTAACGGAAGTGGCAGGCATGCTCTGCTACAGCGCACCTACCATTTCCTCCCCCAAGTCAGAGAGCCTGTGAGTACGCACAGCACTCATTCCACCTCATTGATCCTGCGTCCTCCTCCTGGTACCAGTGTCCTCCTTAGCGCCACCCTCACCGTGTGCATGCACTTTAAAGGGACATTATAGTTACCAGAACAACTATAGCTTATTGAATTTGTTCTGGTGAGTAGAATCATTATCTTCAGGCTTTTTGCTGTAAACACGGTCTTTTCAGAGAAAATGCAGTCTTTACATTACAGCCTAGTGATAACTTCACTGGCCACACCTTAGATGGCTGTTAGAGATCCTTCCTGGGTCATGGCTGCCTAAAATGCATCCAAACATTCAGTGTCTCCACCCTCTGCATGCAGACACTGAACTTTCCTCATAAAGATTCATTGATTTAATTAATCTCTATGAGGAGATGCCAATTGGCCAGGGCTGTGTTTGAATCATGCTGGCTCTGCCGCTGATCTGCCTCTTTACAGTCTCAGCCAATCCTATGGGGAAGCATTGTGATTGGATCAGTCTACCACTTCTGATGATATCAGCAGACTGCTTCTTTTTATTGAGGCAAACAGCATGCAGATCTACAGCTTCAGGCTTGAATACTGAAAGATTTTGCTATATTTATGGAGGCATGAGGGGCCCAGAGGGCTAGATGATGGTTTTAACACTATAGGGTCAGGAATACATGTTTGTGACAAACTGTGTGCTGGGTGACAGAGTGGGGAAGTGGGTGACAGTGGGAGGGGGTGGCAGAGGGTGACTGGTGGCAGAGTGAGGGAGAGGGTGACTGTGACAGGGAGGGATTGGGTGACTGGTGACAGAGTGAGGCAGGGGGTGACTGGTGACAGAGTGATGGGGTGACTGGTGACAGGGAAATAGAGGATAACTGGTGGCAGAGTGAGGGAGGGAGGGGGTGACATAGTGAGGCAGGGGGTGACTGGTGACAGAGTGATGGGGTGACTGGTGACAGGGAAATAGAGGATAACTGGTGGCAGAGTGAGGGAGGGAGGGGGTGACATAGTGAGGCAGGGGGTGACTGGGGACAGAGTGAGGGGGTGATTGGTGGCAGAGTGAGGAAGGGAGTGACTGATGACAGGGAGAGAGGGGGTAAAAGAGTGAGGGAAGGAGGAGGGTGACAGTGAGACAAGGGGTGACTGACAGGGAGGGAGGGGGTGACTGGGGACAGAGTGAGGGGCTGACTGGTGATAGAGTGAAGGGGGGAGGGGGTCGGTGACAGAGTGACGGAGGGTGTTAGAAATACCTTTTTGTTCTCCCGGTTGGTCCAGTGTCTTGACTCCCTGGTGGTCCGGTGGGCTGTCTCTCCAGTCTGCAGCTCCGCGGGGTGTCTCTGTGCAGTGTCTTGCGATATCCAGAAGTCAGAGCATTGCCGTGCTAACCTGCAGCAACGCTCTGATTGGCCAGAGATCGTGAGACACTGCATAGTCTGCAGCTCATACCTCTGCAGACTGGAAAGGCCCCGCACCCTGAGGCCCACAGGGCAAGCGCCGGGCCCCCTCCCAATGTCGAGTCCTTGGTCATGGACGGAGGACCTGACAAGTCACTCTGCTGATAGCCTGCAGCAGGGCTAAAGTATAAAAAAGGTCTAGGGGGAAAGGGCAGTGAAGTCACGCCCTTCTGACATCATCAGAAGGAGCCGGCTGACTTCACTGCCAAGCTGCTGGCTGCAGGGAGAGCAAGGTAGGCTGCAGTTATTCGAAAAATTCGATTCCCCAGCCAGAAGCAGGGGATTCAAATTTTTGCGCCCACCTCCCTCCCCCTGCTCTGGACTGTGCCGCCTTATGGGCACACTGTCCGTGACCCCAGTAAAGCTTCAGTGACTGGGGCGGAAGCCTTCCAGGGTCCTGGCAAGCGGCTAGGAAGCGGCCTGGCAGAGGTACTCGGTCGGAGTGCAAGAGGTCCGCCACAAGGCACATTAAGTGATCTGAAGTACTTAATGCATTAAAGTGTTAATTTACATATTTTTTTTATATCAATACTGAACTATAATACAATAATAATAATAATAATAAAATAACACTGTTATAATGTATTTTAGTATCATGTTGTGAAGCAGCTGCCTGCAATCCATAATTTCCAATTTACGTGTGCCTTGGGAGTAGTGCAATTGCACCACTGACAGCCTTCCCCTGTTACTGAGTTACACCAAATTCTACTGCACATTTGTACATTTCTAGGATACTAGAATCCCACATATTGCACTGCTACTGGATATTATATTACATTCTCACGCCTACATTTGGTCTGGCCAGTGCTTGTTGCGTGCATGTTAACCGAAAGCATCATCATCATATGATACATCTTACATGCTTTAATAGCAGCAGATCTAATGAAAGCATGTTTGTGGTTTTCTAATCCAATAAAAATAAATGTCTGGAAGTGCAAATGTATAAATGATGGTTATATCAAGACAACTATCTTTATATCACAGATTTTAAGTTGGTCTATAACCTTTGAGGTTTTAGGTCACCTGGCATTTTTTGTCACTGGATTATAGTTACTACAGGTTATCTTGAACTTATTTATTTTTTTATTTCTTTTATTTTTTTTTACAATGTATTGCTTTTTTGTAAGTTGTATTGTTCTGGTGGTTGACCATGAGTTTTTCAAAAATACATTATTGTGTTTATATTCGCAGTATGCTATTTATTCTTTAGTCAAACTGTGTTTTTATTGTGGCATGAAGTTTATAGAGTTGTAATCAAAATTATTCAACCCCCCATTGAAAATCTGGTTTGTTGTCAAAATTTCCAGACTTTCAGCTGCTTGCAATCAACGAATCAAACAAAAATAATTAAAATAGCGCAACACGACGAATGCTTCAAGTGGTTTCCCCAACTTCAACTGAAAATGCAACTTATAATGACTCTCCAGTCTCAAAATAATTCAACCCCCTTATAGATTCCTTCACAACAACACAACTATGCAAAATAATCCATACTGCTCAAGAAACTTATGCACTGGGGAGAAGTGCAAGTGCCGCACTATCAGCCTTCCCCTGTTACTGAGTTACACCAAATTCTACTGCACATGTGTCCATTCATATGGCATTTATCCCATTTTGTACTGTTTAAAGAAACATAAAAGTTTTGCTTGGCTGACTGTGTCCTTCATGTAACCTTCATGTATGTCTTATCCTATCTAAATTTAGAAGATCAATATTTTGTAATAAAATCTACCACAAATTGACTGTTCCTGCACTAGCTAATATCTGTGTGCTGAGTCATGAAACCACACAAACAGGGTTATTCTCTAAAGTGTGAACTGCCAGAAATTCAAAGGAATTTCAAGTTTAAAGGGACACTATAGTCTTTTAGTTTAATGAAGCAGTTTTGGTATATAGTTCGTGCCCCTGCAGTCTCACTGCTCGATTCTCTGCCATTTAGGAGTTAAACCACTTTTGCTTCTGTCCATGCAGCCCTAGTCACAGAGGGGGCGGAGCTAAGGTGAGTTTTATAGGGGGAGTAAGGAGGGGCAAGCCACCTAAATGGTGGGTTAAACCAGAGACGTATTGGCTGCGAGACAAACAAGGCATTTGCCTTGGGTGGCACTTTCCAGGGGGCGGCAAAAAAATGCCGGCGCTTGCGAGGGAGCACTAATTAGTGAGCTCTCTGCTCAGCTCCCTCGCGCGCCGCAGAGTGATGCCGGGAGCCGGAATATGACATCATATTCCGGCTCCCAGCATCACTCTGTGGCGCGCGAGGGAGCTGAACAGGAGGTTGCTTCCTCGCCGTCTGCAGTCACTGGCCGGCTGCCCGCCCAGCAGCCGCACTGGACCCCAGGGAAACGAGGCGTCTGAGTTTTGTCATGCCTAGGGCAGCACAAAACCATTATACACCACTGGGTTAAACACTATATGGTCAGGAATACATTTTTGTGTTCCTGACCCTACAGTGATCCTTAAAATACCCACAAACTAATTTTAATCATTTGAAGGTTGGCAAACAGTTGTAGTTTTAAAAAATCGGGATACCTTTTGGTCACGCCTCCTCCTTTGAACTACTGTCATTCATATAGTACACCAAAGCGAACCACATACCAAGAAATATAGATGACCACAACTAAAGCTTGTGTAAACCATCCAATTTATTTAATAATAATTATCTTTCTATGTTTGAACAGAAAGAATATTATAGTTGAGTCGTTAGACAACGTAGATAGGTATATAGTACAGCCATGTTTGTACCTTCAGAACCTGCTAACATTTTAAATAGAAAATAATAATTACCGCACAAGTAGCCTCAGTGAACTCAAGTGAAGCTATAGAAAAATCATCTGTAAGAACGGAGTGTTACTAGGGGGTAAAAGTGTAAATTTTTTGGACCCTTCCTTGACTTAAAAGGATACCTTAGCATTAGGAATACAAATCTCTTTTCCTAACACTATAGCCTTCCTTTCACTAGTTAGTGTTAGCCCCTCTCCCCAATGTGTAATGTACAAATAAAAAACATTCTCACCTTTTCTCCAGTGTCCAGTCTCCTTCGATGCCCGCTCCTAATCGTGCAAGGTCATCCTGGAGGCATGTCTCCAGGATAATCACCAAAACACAAAAGAACTTATTGATTTGGATGATGTTGCCACCATCCAGATCTAAAGTTCCTTAAGTGAGTGCAGCGCTATATAAGTGCTAAGTAAGTGTGTTCACTAAATCTTGGAACTCTTACCCTTTTTCGTTTCTCTTAATACAATTCGTACATAAAAAAAGAGAACAGAAAGAACATATACAAATAATAGTGTAATATGTCTTTAAATAGAGTGATCGGTGAAATAAGTGAATATATACACTCACACTTGTTAGAGCCTTTTCTAGTATTAGGCTCTAAACTTCTGCATGTCTGTGTCTTTTGGGTAGATCACACGACCCCTCTCTCCTTAGGAAGATATTCTCCACCGGATATATAAAAGATACAAATATTTCACACTAAGTGTAGCATCTCAGAATGGAAATGTTGTCCATATAAGTAAAAATACTTATAACATCCAATCCAATGCTAACCATAAAGTGCGTTTGGGTGGGCGCATGCCTATGCAATGGTTCTCTATGGCAAGTTGTGAAAGCACTGCTAATGTGCGTGTGATGTCACAGTATACCTGGGTATGAGATATTGAAGCCGCCCTTCCAATCTTTCTAAATATTAAAATACCTCAATTTAGAGCTTAGGACGTAGGGGAAACTACTATAGGCACTATAACAACTTTATTTAGATGAAGTTAGTGTCCCTTTAAGACACTCCCAAAACCACACACTGTGTTCTGTGAATCATATTATGACACCAAATCTTTGAATGATTTCATAGTATTATATAAATATATTTCTAAACACCACAGCTGCTGTATTAACCTGTACCACGCTGTAGCAATCTCCACCCACAGCATTAACCCAATACTTGCAGCTTTGATCCTGCACCTACTGCTATAAAACCCCACACCCTCAGCAAAACCCCCTCACTGTGCCCTATAATTAACTGTAAATATAGTGCATTAAAGAGGCATTACATAATCAGAAGTATTAGTTCTCTCTGAATACTACAGCGCACCTGGGCTTACAATAAAAAGGTGCACAAGTCAGCGCCCCCAGCAAGGCCTCTAAAATGTCAAATAGCGACAACAATAACATCAGGACTCCTGCATTCTGTACATCAATGACATTTACACTGACAGATTCATCTATCTTATTTATGACGGGAAGGGAATGTAAAAGACTTTGCAATTGTACAACAAATATGCTGTACTTATGTGAGATTTTATAAACTACAACTATCTTAAAGGTGCTTGATAACACAGAATTTACACTTCCTTATTATCAGCATCATTTCTGTCCAACCTAGGTAGCAGTTACAGAGAGCACTGGGCTGACTTGAGATGTAGAGGTCATGTTGCTTAGACTTAGAGCACCATTTTTCTTATATGTAAAAACTCTAGGTCAAAAATTTGGAGAATTCACCATAGAATCAATAGAGTGTTTCTGCTGGTTGCTTCACTTTAGGAATTTTCCAAAAACTCATCTTTATGCATGATCCGCATATCTAAATGTGCTGCAGTAAAATGCATTGAATGTAGGCGTATTCACTAAAATGTGAGCAACAGGATATGCAAAGTGAAGTTAAAATTTTAGGCCATAACAGACAAGCAAAAAAAAAACCCAACCCTAATTAGGATTAAAAAAAAACAGTCCAGGCTATTTTTGCCTAAAATGGTAAATTCTGTTTACATCCACTTAGGTTCTTATTCACGAAGTTCAGACTTGCAGCAAACTATATTCCAAATTTAAAAAAAAAAAAGTTCCTCAAATTGGCAAACTGTGGCAACAGACTACAGAGATGGATAATTCTTCCACATCAGCTATTTTTGCGCTGCGTATTTCAGTTTCGCTAAATTTCACAGTTTAGCGAGTAAACCTCTTTGAATGCTTCACAACTCACATTTTAGTGAATGAATAATTTTGGCCTAAATTTTGCAGTTTTCATTGTGATTTTCAAACAGTAAAAGAGAGGAGTACGGTGATTTTATCTCCCTTGCTAAAAGCCACCAAGACATGCTTTGAGAATATAATGCTTTGTGATGGTATCCCTAGCTCGAGGAAAGGCTCCCTGGCACCCTCCTGTCTCCCCTGGCCGTAGCAGCCTGGCATTGTGCCTACATTTGCTAATCAGTGCATGGGGGAAGCAATGACAAGGAGGGGGGAGTCAAATCCAGCCCCCACCGAAATCCTCAAATAACAGATCAGGACATCATCATGAAGAGGTGGAGCAGTAGCAGCCATACTAATAGCAGACAGCCCTGACTCAGACAGACTGGAGGGAGAAAGCATGGCTGGGGATAGCGAGCAGGCATTGCCCAATCACGCACCCCACAACGGGCAACCCTTCCTGATCGGGGTCAGCGGTGGAACAGCCAGCGGCAAAGTGAGTGCCAGCTCTTTAAATGGGGCCCCTGGCACTTTTTACCAGGAGCCGGGGGTGGTGGCTCTGCTTTGTCTGACCGCATGGTGAAAATGCAGGGACGTGAGGCATGTGCCCACCTTAGGGCCATGCTGGGTCTTGCAGTAAAGAGGGTGCGCTGGATTATTTGTGTCCAGGGGTCGTTGTTACTATTCTACGACTTCCAGGGGAGGTGAACGCGTGGCTCTTTTGACGCTCCGTCTCCTGCCATGTGGTGTCCACGTTACTGCTGCCAGCATGCACTGCCTGTACCTGTCCTACACATACCCCATCGGTGTCACTTCATTAAAATGTGCCCCCCTCCTCATACTGACAGTATATTTTACACGCTTGCAATGATTTCGTGGTTTTTTTTTTTTTTTATACGTACATTTTCCATATACACCATCCCTTTAAAAGTGGGAGGGCTAACTCGGCTAGACATGGGGTATGACCAAGGGGGCTTTCCAGTACCTTTCTAATGTGGTAATATTTAGTGATTAATATTAATAAGAACAACGGTAGACTAAAGTATGTTCTTGGTGATGATATAGTTAGAAAAAAAGGCTTGAGAAATGGCTCTAGAATGCATACCTTCGAACAATAGAGAGTAGCTCTGCATTGTATTGAAGGTGGGAATTGGCGATATTCTATGGAACAATGAATGCCTGGTGGGAGACATTCATCCACTATAAAATGTTGGGGTGTATAATACAGTGATGACACATCCAATCTTATATGGAACAGAGTGTTGTTAAGAGTGAAACACAATCCCACATCATTTGTATCATAAAGAATATATGAATTAAATATACCTTACACAATAGTTAAAAATGAGTTTTGCGAAGGTTTTGTGGTGGTTTTTATTTAATTTTTTGTTAGTGTAAAACATATTTACAATTTGGAAATGATTCCCATGTTACTGAAGAGTCCCCATTCACTTTTAATCTGACCCTTTTTCTTAACTGTTTTTTTTTTTTTTTTTAATATTCACCCTGTGGTATTAAATTGAAGTACAGAACGACATGGCTGTAAAAACTAGGCTTACCGCACAAGGTAGGCCACCCTTGACAACACCAGGTTTTCCATAATCTGGAGCTAATGCCAGCATGTCTGTATATTTTAATTTCATCATGTTAACGTGTGTTCTTGCTGCTGTATCCGGTATAACTAGGTACGTTTGGTTAACTCATTCGATTCAGGATTGGCAATGAATAAGACCTCTATATTTTACCATTCCTGGTTTTTAAAAGATTGGATTGTGCTACCGACAACCTCAAGATTATGATATGACTGTGATCATAATAAATAAATTAAATAAATAAATATATATTATTATTATTAATTTTTTTTTTTTTTTTTTAATGTCCAATTCACTTTATCTTCTTCCCCCCCCCCATCCCCCTTCATAATAAGATCAAGAGTTGATGGGGCTAGGGGATTAAACTTCTTAACACATAATATATGCTGTTGTTCCTAGAAGCCCCCATGGCAGGAGAAAATGCCTGTTGTCTACTGTAGTCCGTTGGATGGGAAGTATGCCCATCCCGGCCTACTAACATGCAGTGTTCCAATGCTGACTAATATTAATCTGACGCCCAGAAGAATGTCCTCACCATAATGTGTCTGTGTCATTTTTGAGTCCTTGCCACCTTTTTAAACTGATGTCACTGCATTGGAAGCTTGGGTATTCCATATTGCCACGGCTCACTTTAATTATAAAATAAAATGCTACAGCGTCTTGGCGTTCGGTTATTGAGTGAGTGGCTTTTAAAAGCCATTCATTTTGTGTGTGTGTGTGTGTGATAGATATATATATATATATATATATTCTCTAATCTATTTTTTATTTTTATTTTTTTTTTTATAATTCTGTAGTTTGTGCACCTGCTGCTGTTGAAATATTCTAAATGGTAGATCTTGCAGCTGTTTGGAATGTACAAATACCTTGATACCATAGCAGTGCATCATGTGATTTGTAGTTCTACAACAGATGGGTATCTGCCACTTACACATTCATTTGTGTCTTTTTTTTTTTTTCTCCTATGTCTAAATATGTGGAACATTGAATAGCTGTCATTGTGCTCGTAACCAAAATCCGTCATCTTAAAGCTCAAACACCTGCTTCTGTTTTCATGTTAGATTGCTAAGCAAGATTTCCCCTTGTTACGTTACAATGATGCAGCCATCTAAAGAAATAGGTCAAGTTGTTGGTGTTGGGTTTTTTTTTTTTTTTTTTTTCCTCCTCCTTTCCCCTGCTCCTCCCTTTGTGTAGCCACAGACAAAGGACTTGACTGAAACAAGTCTAAGCTCTCGGCTGCTATGACAGAAATGATTAATTATAATTCTGATATTTCTATGATTAAAACACTCCAAAGAGTTGCTGATGTACTTTGTGCCTAATGCCTGTCCCCTTTTATCATAATGTTAGAAAAGTGCTGAATTCAAGACAAATAATTTTTTTTTATATGTGTTTTTATAAAGTGAAGAAATTTCACCGATTTGCAGTTTGTAAGCAAAACCTGAAGGTAATGAATTTTAGGGCCTACAGGGTAATGTGGCAAAGAGAGCTTTAAAGTATACTCAGTGGTTTGCTTTAATTTGTGAGGATTTAGAATAGAGATTAAATTGGCTTGACATATGCTTGTTTGTTTGTTGGTGGTACCTGCTACAAAATGGCCTACTTTACTGTTAACCAATTAGGCTGTACTGTCATAACAATCTGATCCTTACATACTCTGTTGTGATATCAGATTATTCCCTTGTCCTTATCCGGAAATCTGTAGTATTTCGAATTCTAAGTGAGATATGTTCTATGCTTCTGCAGAACTCTTAAGGCCCAAATTGAGATGACAGTGGCTCTTTGGCAATGGATATCTTACTGATGGAGTCTTCTGAGCAATAAAAAAAATCAAAATAATGCACAGATGCCACAAATCCCTATTTTCTCACTTATGTATAGGCCAAATCACTCATTATAACATTGAGGTCCATTCTCTTCATTTTTATTATTTTGGGTATTTGGTAATATATGTAAAACTCTCTAGATAATTGTTTGCAAGAAATGTAGCATATTCTTGGGCAGTTTAAGGCTTGACCGTTTAGTTGACTAGCCTGACACTATACAGTATAGAGTTGGACCATCTATATCTAGAATGTATCTAATGAATAATGTAACAACTAGTATTTATTATCTAACTAGCTAATTATAACTAAACATTTTTGAAGTTAAAACCGATATCTGTAGCAAATGTAGATGCTTCTTAGATCTCCCCTTTATAAATGCATCAGGAGATGCCAAAGTAATCTATGGTGCCAGTGAGGACCTTTTCTAATCTGCCGTTGGGTATGATTCCTTCTCTAATTCTTTAGAATTTTATTTTTGACTCAAATGAAATTTTTACTCTGCAGAGCCAGGAGGTAGGCATAACAGCCACAGAAAGTTGTAGTGACAGCTAGCATGCTGGGTGGGGAAGAGCCATAAGGGGAGTATTTATACTGGCCATCTTATGAAGTGGCCATTTTAACTGAACCTAAACTTACCTGTCAGTTGTCCCTCCCTCCCACCCTCCCTGAAATTTGGTGAGGTTAGATGATTTTCCAGTTTTTTTCACGGCGGCAGGGAATGGGCAGGTTAAATCGGCGGTAGATGGAGGAAAAAGTGGGCATCCTGATGTTTAGTGTGGATTAGGCAGTGTTACACGTGGTTGGTAGGTTTGAGCCCGTCGGTGGCTCCGTACCTGGGGGTGTAGCAGTGTCTGGGTAACCCTACACTGGAACGTGGGAATAGTGGTGTCTTGGTACACCCCTACAATCGATATGGTGGGTAGCGATGTCTCGGTACACCCCTACAATTTATCTGGTGGGAAATGTGGTCATATTGCACTGCCAGTTTCAGTGTTAACTTGTTATTATTGTGGGGTCATTGCTAGAGGTATGTTATGTATATGGGGGGATGTTGATTTTAATAAGATTTGTTGGCAATGACCCCATTTGTTATTCCTTAATTATTTAATCTAATAATTAAGAAAGCTGTGGACTAATATTTCCAACAGTATAACCTGTGTCCGTGTCTTAATGGGGGTTTGGGTAAGGTTAGCGCATATGCCGGCAAATCCGACTGTGCCCCTGTCTTGTTTCCAAGTAATATTTTGGAGTTTAGATTTTTCCACACTCGCTGTCAAGGAAGACAGGATCGCCAGTAGTGACTGCTGCGGGAGGTTGTCCTGTCCTTTCTCTACTTCTTGTACATGGCTTTCTTTAATAGGAATTCTTTAGCATACTGTATATTTGGTGTGACTTTTGGCCCCTTCTCTAGGGAAAAGCATTACTAGAGTAGCCTTCAGTCTGAAGTGTCCTTATTTGAACCCCTCTGCACGGTTAGCCGACAAGCTACTGTGCAGGAATCTGTCACTTGTATGTGTCAGTGGAGAGCTTAAGGAGCAGAGTCTAGAGTCCCTGTATGATTTCCTGGAAGTTTTGCACTGGTTCTTTATGATTTGCAAATCTAGTTAATTAGCAAATTATAACTTATCTGGTTATTACTCTAGTTCAGTGGTTCCCAACCTTTTTTCACTTCTGTATCCCTTGGCAGCTTATTTCTATAAATTGTATCCCACATATTAGAAAATGTTTGTTAATTAACATAGCTGCTCTTCTATTACATCCTATGGCTTTGTTGTTGTTGTTGTTGTTGTTTTTTTGTTCCGTGCTCCTTCTCCTTCCCCACGTGACAGGCTGTTGTGGCCGACTCAAGTCCCAACATCAATTGGCCAAGTAGTGTGCGATGGTGGTGGACATGATTATTTATTTGCAGTGGTTTGCAATTTCATTAACTTTAAGGCAAATAGAGAGGATCCTTCTGTGCACTGTTAGCCTTAAAATAAATCTGGGCCCTAGCAGACAGTTCAGTTGACGGCAGTACTGGGTTGGAATCCTCCTTCAGGGGTGAATCTTTACTTTTGTGGTGCTCAATTTGCACATAGTTGCATAGCAATGCCAACGAGGATTGCAGCTATTGTCTGCAAACATAAGTCCAATTAATAAATCGCCAATAACATGGCAATGCCAACTCCATTATTTTAAAGGGACACTACAGTCACCAGAAATACAACTTAATATAGTTGTATTTAGTTCTTTCTAAGAGCTTTATAAAAATATGCATCCCTTTTGCAGTCAGGTAGTGAGATTTGTTTCAAAGTGTTCAAATCTTTTTGCTCCAAGTCTGACTCAAAAATCCTGCTTAAATCGACACTATAGTCACCAGAACAACTACAGCTTATTGAATTTGTTCTGTTGAGTAGAATCATTCCCTGCAGGCTTTTTGCCGTAAACGCTGTACTTTCAGAGAAAAGGCAGAGTTTACATTACAGCCTAGGGACACCTTCAGTGGCCTTTCTTTAGATGGCCACTAGAGGTGCTTCTTGGGGCACTGCTGCAATTTGTGCAGCAACTGACATTCAGTGTTTCCATGCTCTACATGGGGACACTGAACTTTCATCAGAGTTGCATTGATTTACTTGCTGTATTTGATTCCGTGCTCCAAAATTCTATAGGTTTTTGCAAAAAAATAAATGTTTCAGAATTCTGCACTATATACTTGCCTCCTTAGCCATACTCTTAACAAAAAATACTTCCTAATCATTTTTTTTTTTTTTTTTTACACAATCTTTTTATATACATTTTAAACTACAATTGCTACCATAAGACTAAAGTCAGCCTTTGTTTCCTGTTCTGCTTTTGTTAATCTGCATTATTTGATATCGTACTGATCAATTTCAGACTACAGTAAGTTTCTTAGAGAGGCAAATTGGATTCTTTTGGAGAGACAATGGATTCTTAGACAATTATTTGCAAACACATGCCCTCCTTTATATGTAGTATTGCTGTAGGAGCGAGCTGTGGTGATTGTTTGTGCAGACAGACCTTTTATTACTTAGTGAGGAAGCATTTTTTTTTTTTTTCTCTCCCTTATTCAACTAAAAGTTGCTGTAGGATTATTTTGCTGCAGATTGGTGTTGCAGCAATCCAGAGAGTTATGCAGTGTTATTGCATTTTCTCATATGTAGAATGTATTGCTAAAGAGAGAACCTGCATTCTTTCAGCCTTTCCAAAATGAGACCAAACCAACAAACCCATATCTAAAGAAAAAAATAAATAAAAAAAAAAAAAACTGGGCTGTGAGGGGATTCGTGCACAATTGAACTGTAAAATAAGCATCATATCACAAATTAGATTTATCTGTATATGCACAGTGTGTTCCCAATGCACAAGCAAATTGGACCACCAAGGAGGAAGTAAAACTTAATTTGTGAGAGGTTCCTCTTAGTTGACGTTTACTATTTAAATGGATACTCTGAGCATTATTTTAGGGCCTAGATGCATAGGTGCCAACAGTCCCAATTTTTCTGGGGCAGTCCTGCATTTTTAAAATCTATCTGCAGATGTCAAAATGTAGGAGGGAACTGTGCACAAGGACCATGCTCAGAGTGCTTTAGCATTGCTCCGTGCATGGTCTGCTGAAGGGAACAAGCTGTCAGTTATCCTGGCCACCCTCTCTAGGGGCAAACATACCAACTTTGCTTGGCATGCCTCTTTGGCAGGCAGACCCGCCTCCAGCAAGCCCTGTGAAGCCCCTCTGTCTCAGGTTGAGGTCCTCAAATGTTGGTATGTCGATGCTGCACCCACAGCCATGTAAACTGTGTAATTCCTGGGAAATGGCAATATTTACACTTTGCTGGTTGCACGCCTTTACAGGTACTCAGACATACACTAGGGCAGTGGATCATAAACCAGTCTTCAAGGCCGAGCAACAATCCAGGATTTACATATTTTTTCCCTTTTTGTTATACAGTAAAGATATTGAGAACATCGGGATGTTACTGGATCATGAGGACTGGTTTTGGAATCCCTTATCTAGGGGCTATAGACAAAAATATAGTGGTATACTGACGCTGGATCCTATATGTGCTTCTCTGTGAGATGCATTTTATTGACCAATAAGCAAATGCTGCACATGCACTGAATGTCTGCTGTCCACCTCTCTGAGAAAAATGTCTTTGAAAATAAGTAATCCGTTTAAATAACGTCAGTGAGGACGGTGTTTTTGTGTTTTTTTATTTTTTTAAACCTCAGTTCTCTACAATAAATGCATGCAGCTATATTGATAGAAGTGTTTATAGCACCTTATTGGAGTGCTGATTCTCTCTAGAACAGTAAAGAAGTTAAATATAATTTAGAACTTGTCCCACTTTGAAAATAAAAATGCAGTCAGTCCTGAATTTAATGAAGCATTGTTACAGTTTGCTCCCAGTAGCTGCTTCACCTCCCCTGATATAATCATGCTTCTTGAGCTCTGTCCAATCCAATATTTTGTCAGAGAAGCATTGTAGATCTTATGTACATAAACTGCAACTGCTGCACTTTGCCAGTCTGGAGGAATATCGAATCCCCCCCCCCTTTTTTTTTTTTTTTTTAAATTCTTCTTGGATTGACTATGTTCAGCATCGTCATGCTGTGTGTGTGTGTGTGTGTGTGTGTGATATTGCCAAATGTGAAGACCTAGTCTTTTGGAGCCGTGCCCCTTTTAAAGAGGGCAAATGAGTCTTGGTTCAACAAAAGCTTGGGAGAACTTTTAGCCACCCCTGATCTGGCAGATGTTGGTTTGGGACAAGTGATTGTTTCATGTTGTCAAAATTCAAAACAGAAGAGCAACTGTCCGGAGTATTGCGTAAGTATATCCGTAACACTTAAAGGTGGATACATTCTGAGAAATGCCATATAGTACTTGGCTGTGTGCCTTCCTGTGACATGCACTGTAGACAAACAGACTGTATTGCACAAAAGTGAGGAATACTGGACCCAGGGTTCCATTTTATATAGTTTCAGGAAAATCACATCTTAGCTGAGCATTATTAAAAGAATGGAAAGCCATCTGAACAAGTGATTTTTAGAGGGACGGTGAAGTCTAAATATCCTACGCCACTTGTTGCGTGACCTAGAGCATCATTTTTGATCTGCATAAATACCAGTCCATATTTTGGCCCAAAATCCAATTGCCTGCTTTTCTAGAAGCTCCAAATATATGATCTTTGAATGTATTGTAGAAAGTAACTGCAATAAAACTGCTTGTAATGGTTTTTACAGTACAATAAAGTTGTTATTGACATGAATAAAATGTCTTGTTCTTTCTCCCCTTCTCTCCCTCCCCCCCCCCATGAAATAACATAAATCCTTGTTTGAAATGTCTCTTCCTTATAATTTGTTAATCCCAGTGATAACTGATATTTAAGTTAAAGCTTTTTTAAAAGTCTCCATGTTTTAAACCGCACGAAGGAGTATTCTCAAGACAAAACTGTTGCTATACTAGATGTGACATGTTCAGAGACATTCTGTTGGTTTCCATGGATTGCTCCTTATTTATCACTTTGTCCTAGAACAGCCCCTGGTTTTGCCTAGATTAGTCTCTAAACCTACATGCACAGCATAATCTAAAACTGGTGGAGTAGCAAACTATTTAGGGGGGGCTTGCCAGCATTTTAAGGTCTGGACTGCCCTTATGGGCAGAATCAAATTGATATGTAAATGGTATAGGTTCTCTCTTTAATAGCAAACTAATTTGAACAGGGATTTACCAAAGAGGAAGGTATTGAGTTTCTCTAAGCTTTTGATGCCTCACCTTTAGTAGCAGAGTTACATAGTTACATAGCTGAAAAGAGACTTGCGTCCATCAAGTTCAGACTACCTCACATTTGTTTTTTGCTGTTGATCCAAAACAAGGCAAAAAAAACCAGTTTGAAGCACAATTTTGCAACAAGCTAGGAAAAAAATTCCTTCTTGAACCCAAAATGGCAGTCAGATTTATCCTTGGCTCAAGCAGTTATTACCCTACATTGAAAGATTATATCCTTGAATATTCTGTTCTTGCAAGTATGCATCTAGTAGCCGTTTGAACATCTGTATGGACTCTGATAAAACCACTTCCTCAGGCAGAGAATTCCACATCCTGATTGTTCTTACAGTAAAAAAACCTTTCCTTTGCCTTAGGCGAAATCTTCTTTCTTCCAGTCTAAACGCATGGCCTCGTGTCCTATGTAAAGTCCGGTTTGTGAATAGATTTCCACACAATGGTTTGTATTGGCCCCGAATATATTTGTATAATGTTATCATATCCCCTCTCAGGCGACGTTTTTCTAAACTAAATAGGTTTAAATTTGTTAACCTTTCTTCATAGCCAATATGTTCCATTCCTTTTATTAATTTTGTAGCTCGCCTTTGCACTTTTTCTAGTGCCAAATATCCTTCTTTAGAACAGGTGCCCAAAATTGCACAGCATATTCAAAATGGGGTCTTACCAGTGATTTATAAAGTGGCAAAATTATATTCTCATCCCGAGAATGAATGCCCTTTTTCATGCATGACAATACCTACTGGCCTTAGCCACTGCTGGTTAACATTGCACATTGTTGCATAGTTTGTTGTCTATAACAATTCCCAAGTCCTTTTCATATGTTATCCTTAATTCACTATCAATACCCTGAAGTGCATAACTTTATATTTTTCAACATTAAACTTAAATGCTCGACTTGTTTCGTCTAAAAGACTTTATCAAGAGCCCTTAAATATTTTAGATGAAACGTGTCGAGCGGAAGAAAGCTACAGATATCCCCAGAAAGACCTCTATTTTACAGCCCTTTTCTGCCAGATTTGTTCATCTCTCCATTTCAACGGACGAGATTTACAGACATTAGGAGAACTTGATGCTGAACTTAAACACACAGGGACTTAGCCCAGCAGTACCTGATGAGCTTTCCTGCACAATCAGAAATATTTCTTTTTGTGTCACTACTTTTGTGAGTGTATCCATTGTATTTTATTTGTCTTTACTGTGTTATTAATTACTTCACTATGTATATATTTACTTTTGTTTCCATACATGTATAATTAAAATATACGTATGGTAATTATGCTCACACGTTTGTGATTTTGGCGCCCTCACTGGTATATGTTTTTAACTATACTATTTGTCTAAGTGCTGATATAAACGAAAGACTAAGTGATTGAACGTAGCAAAGAAGTATTTGAAACCGTATAAATGAATAAGTGAAGAGTGGGTGAAAGACCAATATGCCAGGTGCACGAACCGTTCGGATGTACGAATGGTATAGTTAATTACTTGCAAGTGTAATAGGATTTTGTATGGGTTATACCGAAGGCAGGCAACAAATATTTTGCCAAAGTAACCAGTGAATTAGACGAACAGATAAGTGAATAAGAAGGGAGCCTATCCCCGCGTTTTTAGGCCCGAATGTAGGAATAACCAAATGTTATTCCCCACGTGTACGTGCCAGGTCTCGGATATGGAAGCAGAGTGAAGCATTTGTATAGAAGCTGGCGGAACGACCGGAGGTCGGGAAAGTGGACGCTGCAGATTAGGAGATTTGGCGGGTATCTCAGACCAGAAGTGTTGGTTGCTATGGGGACTATCAATCAGCGTGAACGGCATAGGTAGGAGCTTAGGGTTTAAATAGGGGACATAACTCCTTCCACAAATTCAGGCCTTATGGCCTTTCTACATCTATAATGTCATACTAAGTGTGTGGTTGTGTGGTTTTTTTTTAAATATTTTTTTTTTTTTTTAGGTTTTAATATAAAAATACTTATTAAATTACACACGTGTGTGTGTGTGTGTGTGTGTATATATATATATATATATATATATATAATGTGTAATTTTATTCTAACTGTATTTTGATATTAATTATATCAAAACACACTGAGCATGAAAATATATATTCTCTATGAATAAAAATATGAAATATATCATACAAAATTTCATAAATATATACGTAGACTATATATTTAAATTCTACGTGCATATTTATGTAATATTTTTTTACATAATCTAGTAATTTTATTAACTGCAATTTGAGGGACCTGCCTGACAACACAGGCAGAAAGTCCAGAGAATTAAATTTGCTAGCGCTGTATTTAATCCTGTAACTTTATTATTTTTTTTTTATTTTTTTTGCCACCCTAAAAACTGTACATGGGGAGTACTGTTTTACTCTGGAGACACATATTAGTGTTTCAAAGCAGTAAAACAGATCAGTAATGTTATTGTCAGTGAAAGTGACTTTTTTTGCATTTCTTTACACACAGACAGCACTTTCCCTGATGATATTGTTGTGATTAGAGATGTCGCTGCCTTCAACATGGATGCTGTCCAGGAAGTGGGAGGGAGGGTCTGCTGGAGATTGGCCGTGATGTGTCAGCTGACCGGAGTTCGCCGCGAACGGTTCGTGGCGAACCGTTCGCGAGAAGTTCGCAGACGGCTTGCGACATCTCTAGTTGTGATACGTTTTACTGTTTTGAAACAATAATATTTGTGTTCAGCGAAGTCTCCCGAGTATAACAGGACTCCCTATGTACAGGTTTTATAGTGGTTTTTGAAAGTTGCAGGGTGAAATATAAGGGTCACATTGAAAATTGCCAGAGCGTATGGTAGCCCAGGAATGAGAATTAACCCCCATGATGGCATACCATTTGCAAAAGAAGACAACCCAACGTATTGCAAATGGGGTATGTTCAGTCTTTTTGAGGTGGGATTCAGAGATTTATGACAGATAACCGTATTACAATTCACTACTGATTTTAAAAATATATATATTTTGAAACCGAAATATCCTACTTGTACTTATAGCACTATAACTTGTTAAAAAGTATATAAACACGGGGTGTTTTTAAACTCCAGACAAAATTTTTAAATCTGTTTTAGCAGTTTTTTTTTCCATTAGATTTTGAAGATAAGCAAAATATTTTTCTTCAATTTTTCACAATTTTTTTTTTTTTTTTTTTAAAGTAAATTATGACATGATACAAATAATGGTATGTGAAAAAAAACTATATATAATTTGTATATGAGAGATAGATATATTACAGCTAAACACAACAAAAGTGTTAAAACAGCCATGTTCCTTAAGGTACAACATGGCCAAAACAGTCTTGAAGGGGCAAAAGTGGGTGTTTTTTTTGTTTTTGTTTTTGTTTTTTAATTTTTTTTTTATTTTGTTTGTTTTTTGTGATTGCTGAATGACTTTTTAAAAATGATGGAAATGTAAGACTCACTCTGACTCTTCATTGGCTGCTAGAAATCTGCAGCAACTTCATGGACAGGAAATCGTTATTTCTCAGCCAATCCCTTTTCTCCTACTGTTCTCCACCTAGGTGCAATGCCTATTCTATAAAACCATGTGCAGCATGGGTTTTTAAGGTAAAGGTAGGTTTTCCCTAGTACAGACCTGTATTTTGCTCAGGAATTTAGTTTTTGTGGTGGTTCTAATTGCATGGCTATCATTTCATATCTCATTTACATGGACAAGGTAGTTTGTAGTCACACTGTACTGTGTGCAAAGGTCTTAAAATTTCCAAAGCATGTTTTTTGTTCATCCTCCGATGATCCACTTTGTTTTGTCTTTCTTTCTGAGATGCCAACTGGCAGGGTTATTTACTAAGGTGAAAATTCATAGTGACTTTTAAGTTTAAGGCCAGAGTAACTGAAAACGTAGCTTACTTGGAGAATGTTTCCAGTTTTTGGCTATTTTGACACTAAGTTTGAAATTCACTTTGAATTGTAACTTTAATGGATAGCATTGAAAGTATCAACAAACTCCCTGTAATCATAGAGAATAGTAATGATTTGAATCTGAGACATTTTCTTAGCTGGGCTCACATTTTTGCAAAGTTTGGTCCAATGTGGTATCGCTCTGAAACTCTCTTTATAGACCTGAGAGCAGAGGTAGGCCGCGTTCAACACTCCAGAGGTTTTTGTCTAAATCTCCCATGAAGCTTTGCCTGCATTTTGACCGTAAGAGCATTAAAGGTGATGTAGTCCACAACATCTGCTCTGCCGAAGGTTGCCCTCCCCTGTTGAAATCCACGTCACATGACACACTCATTTTAAACTTTTAAAAAGTCCAGTCTCTGGAAGTTGACCAGTGCTGGCAAATATTTGTGTGCGGATGATGTGGAACTGTTTAAATTTCGTTGTGTGCTGGTTTCTAGCTACTGTGGTCATATGTAAGTTGCTTGTCAGGAAATACTTGGGAGCTATATCTCTTGGTACATCTTGTGTATGGTAGTACACCGTAAATGTTTGCAGATGCCTTTTTGTTTTCTGATTTGTGATCTATATTTTGCTCCTATATATTTTTTTTTGTTTTCAAGGAATGGTGCACATACAGATCATGGCATGAAATTAGTACAGGATTGACACTGCATGTTGTACATTCAGGTTGCCATTGTTACAAGTATTTCTTATCCATATGCACGATTTGTCAGCATTGTTAACATGGAGTATAACATATTTTGTTTGTTACATACACCTTGGTGGATGGTTAGCAGGGGTAACATTCCGTGCAGTATACATCTGACATCGGTCAAGCACCTTTTGGTCTGGATTTTGTAGTTTGTGATTCATGTTTGGTGGCACCATGATGGGGTTAGGGGTTTGCTAAACATGTAATTGGGGTAGTTAGATGATATTTGAGCAGGGAAACTGGGGAACATGTGGGTTTATGCTATGCTGTGTTGTGTAAAATATTCATCTGTGCTCTCTTCTACCCAGTGTGGGTGCCTTTGCCTTCTAATGCATAGTTAGGTCATTGGTCTTGTCATTAGTGCGGTAAGTTAGCCAACTGTGCCACAGTTTCTTGTTTTGCTGCACCAACCCCCTCACCCTCAGAGACATCTGCTTATAAAGGCATGTGCTGTCTAACCTCTTTGAAATCTCCAGGGACGTGATTGTATTGCTTTTCCAGTGGGAGGCTACAACAGTTTTTTTCAGCAGTTAGCATATTAATAATAAGTGCGGATTAAGGTTCATGGTAAGCAGCATGTGAAGTAGGTATTCCTCAGGTGTCAGCGGGAGAGAGGGATGTGATAGAGAAATTAGGTTGTTGCACATTTGACCAAAGGGGTGTGAGTTTTTGACAATCGCAGAATACATGCATCATTGTACCCTGCAAGCTCCCACATCTCCAGCATGCTGGGTATACTGTGTTGTAGATCTTCGCCGGTTTGTGAGGTACCAGGTACCAACGCATAGTAATTTTACTGTATGCCTTCCATAGGGAAAGGCTTGTAGAAGATTTCCTGGTTATGGTGATTGCCTCGTGCCATTGCCGTAGGGTAAATTCTTTACCCATGTCTTTTTTTTTTTTTTTTTTTCGTTGTGTAATACATGTGAGCTTGTGTAATGCGTTATCTTCCCATAGTGCACTGTAGCATAGGGACATGTTTTATGGAACGGGAGGTCCATATGTGGCACAGAGATCATGTTGTGGTGTGCACCTGTCCCTGGGACTGTGACTCTGTAAGATATTCTTGACTCTCAGGTAGAGGAGCAGATGTTGGGGAGAAATCCTCCTGCAAGCTCGGAAACCTTTTTCAAAACATCTCTGCTATAGAGGTCTCCTACATTCGTGATTCCCCTCTCCTCCATGCTTGAGTGGTTAGGTTGGGAGCGTAGGCTTGTAAAGCTGTGATAGGGGCTAGTCTGAACAGTGCCTTGAGATTGAATATCACTGGGGCCCAGGACTTCCAGGATTTCAAAAGTGTGCTTGTACTCGTTAGTCGGTTTATCAGTGGAAATTGGGGTGATCGTCCATAGGGCATGGGTTATCTTGAGGAAAGAGACATGCATTCTCAAAGGTGCGCCAGATAGGGTCAGGATCCCCGCTAGAGGATCTTAGTAGTCTAAGGCCTTGTGCTAGTAAGGCCGCTCGGTAGTAGTACTGAATGTCTGGTAAACCCAGGCCTCCTTTGTTGTAGTGGAGACCCAAATGCAGATATTAATCACAGTGGAAGTTTGAAACCATTCAGCTATGGATTCAGCAGAGTGTTGGCGACCTTTACGCACCATGCGCCTCAGCACTCAGTGACCCCGCACAGTGACCTTTACGTGGTCTACAGCTTCGAGTTGCTGCTGTTCCTAATGCGTCCTCTTTCCAATAATGCCACTTACAGTTGGATGTGAAATATCTAGCAGGGATAAAAAAATCACAAACTGACTTTTTTGCAAAAGGTTGTATTTTATCACCGTACCACGCTTGAATTCAGACTTTTTCAGAACCCATTTTTCTTCACAAATGTTTTTAAATACAGACCGTATGGCTAGGTGCTTGAGGTTTTAGAAACGTGTGGCAATGGGTCTGGTTGAAACTCATGAATTCAATAATTTTTATTTTTAATTCTTTATTTTTGACAGTGCAGCATGGAGTATACAAATTGCAGCGGTATGCACAGATATATTTCCGTAGTAGACAATTGGTAAGCATAAAAGGTCATGCATACTGCACTGTTGTTTTTAATTTAAAGGCGAATTATACATGGAGTACATCAATTATATGGCATTCCCAGCCTATATGGCAACGTCTAACAAGTGTTGTCGTGTACTGCATGTGTCTGATCAAAGAAGAGGGAAAAAAAAAAAAAATTGGCAAGAGGACGTCTCGTAGGTAGGCTAGGCTTGCAAAAGAGTATATGGTAGGTGTATGAGTTTTGAGTCGAGAGTAGTAAAGTAAAAGTAACGTAAAATAAAAACCGTGTATGAGTGGGTACCTCAAGTGTTGTCCCCAGGGTACTTAAGTATTGTCGTATCAGTGGGTCTTGTGTATCCCTGTCGGGAGTTACCTCTCCGGTATCGGTAGTAAGTCTCGGTCTGTGTCTCTCTGGGGTATCGAGGCCCGGGGAGGAGGGGGGAGAGGCAGGGGTCTTGCCCATGTCCATGAATCCTAAGACTAATGTACCAGAGGGAGTACCCCTTTTATGTAAGTTGTCAGTGTCAGCCTAAATATATGAGATGTTGCGAAGGCGATAATAAATAATCAACCAAACATAAATATAGAATACTGAATTATTAAACCGAAGCGTTTTGGGAACAGAGAGAGCGTTCAGCCAGAATTATAGATCATAGGTCCGAGTGGTCATCGGTGGTGGTGTTAGAAGGAGCCCGGACATCCATCAGGTGAACTGAGGGTGGCTTCTCGCAGAGTAGTCCTCAGGTCAGTCTCTCCTGTCCTGGGCGTCGCCCCGTGCGGGGGGTGAATTCTTTGATGGCAGAGGGGTCAATGTGTGCCAATCCCAAGCCGGCCTCTCTCTGCGGACCCGCGATGCCAATCTTGTGCAGGTGAGCTTCTAGTTCCGTATAGCTCCGGGCCCTATAGGCAACATTCATGTGAGTGAATAGAAGCTGCTTAGGGATTCCCCAGCGGTACTGGATGTCCTTTGCTTGGAGGATCTGCAGCAGTGGTCTCAGTGACCTGCGCCATGCGATGGTGTTGCGGGTGAGATCTGGGAACAGAGTTAGGGATGAGCCCTCGAAGTGTATTGGGGTCTTCCCCTTTGTGGCCGTGAGCAGCAGGGCCTTATCTGACAATGACTGAAATCGTATGATAAGGTCGGCGGAGGCTGTCGTAGGCGCTGCAGTTGGTCTTGGTAGGCGGAATAGGCCGTCCAGTTTCGCTGCTTTAGCCTGCTTGGGTGGCAGCAATGTGTTAAGCAGTCTGCGGACATAGTGGGGTAAGTCAGTCAGACCTATCGAGTCTGGGATGCCTCGGATTTTAAGGTTGTAGCGCCTTTTCTAGTCCTCCATGGCGTCCAATCTGTCGGTGGTAGTCAGCTGCTGCTTTGGCATTTCTGCAATCTGGTTTTCCACCACGGTTAGCCTGGAGTCTTGGGTACTAGTTGCGGCCTCCAGAAGAGTGATCCGAGAGGTGGCGCTATGAAGTGGGCCATGTCTGCCGCTATATTCGCCCTGAGTTCAGCTAGCATGTCTTTCAGCTGGGCAGCTGTTACGGGTTCGGCTGGGGCTGGATGTTTGGCCGTGGGTCTTATGGGTATCTCCTCTCCTATGTCGAGTAGGTTGCCTTCCGAGGAGTAAGAGGAGTCATCTCCCTCCGGCGCCATTTTGTCCAATGTGGCCCTTTGGGCGCCCCTCAGGAGTTCCCCGATATCCCGGCTTGTTGGGGTCCGATCGCCCTTGGATTTTTTGGTTTTCTGTCCCATTCTCCTTTCCCCTCCACTGGTGACAGGTTTTGGCTTCCGAGACGTCCGATATTTCGGTATATTTTGTTATATAAGTGAGCTAGGCTCGGAGCTCGAGGAAAACGCGTCCTCTCTGATCCACAGTTGGCTCCGCCCCCCATGAATTCAGTAATTAATAGGTGTCCCAATACTTGCATGGCAAGCATGGCATATGTATTGGGGATATTTTCTTTAAAGGACCACTCTAGGCACCCAGACCACTTCAGCTTAATGAAGTGGTCTGGGTGCCAGGTCCTTCTAGGGTTAACCCATTTTTTCATAATTATAGCAGTTTCAGAGAAACTGCTATAATTATGAATGGATTAAGCCTTCCCCCTAATCCTCTAGTGGCTGTCTCATTGACAGCCACTAGAGGCGCTTGCGTGCTTCTCACTGTGATTTTCACAGTGAGAGCACGCCAGCGTCCATAGGAAAACATTGTAAATGCTTTCCTATGCGACGGCTGAATGCGCGCGCAGCGCTTGCCGCGCGTGCACATTCAGCCCAGGAGGAGGAACGGAGGAGGAGAGAAGGAGGAGAGCTCCCCGCCCAGCGCTGGAAAAAGGTACGTTTTTACCCCTTTCCCCTTCCAGAGCCGGGCGGGAGGGGGTCCCTGAGGGTGGGGGCACCCTCAGGGCACTATAGTGCCAGGAAAACTAGTATGTTTTCCTGGCACTATAGTGGTCCTTTAAATGTATTGTTTGGCAAGTCTCCAACCTGTTCAGAAAACACCCATCCCTGGGAGAAATGTAATAATGGCTCTATACCAGTGATCGACAAATCTCTGGCACCATGTGGTCATGGCGACTAGAAACATTTTTTTTTTTTTTTTTTTTAATCCTGGTGTTTGTCAGCCCGTTCAGCGGAAGCAGCAGTTTATGCTTTGCTCCCTCCCTCAATCCAGCCTTGGCATAATTAAACCGTGTGCAAGGGAGCAAAGCAAGAAAAGCTTAAAGATTACTTTAGCCCCACTGGACCCCAGGGAAAGAATCCACTCCAGCTCTCCCAAAGGTAGGGAGGCTCGGTGGACTTAAATTAAAATAAAAAAATAACAATTTGTGAGTGTATGAGAGTGTCTGTCTGTCTGTCTGTCTGTCTGTCTGTCTGTCTATTTAGGTTACCAGTCCCGTCCGATTGCATGGGAAAGGTGTTTTTACCTACTTTTTTTTTTTTATTTTTTATTTTTCACGCCTTGCCAGTCTCACCCTGACTGGTCCTCCCTCTGTGGCTTAGATATTGTTTGGTGGTCTCAGCCAAGCCAATGCCTTCTAAAAGGTAAGCATAGGTAGGCTATTACGCATGTATGGCAAAATGCCATGCTGCCCCAATCAGCATCTCCTCATAAATATGCAATGACTCAATGCATCTCTATTGGGAACAGTCAGTGCCTTCATGCAGACCCTGTGCGGCACTGGACTATGAATCACCCCTAGTGGCCACCTGAGTGACTGTCAATAGAGGTGTTACTAGGCAGCAATGTAAACACTACCTTTTCTCGGAAAAGCTAGTGTTTATATCCTGTCCCTGTAGGCTTTTCAATGTAGACACCAGAACCACTTTATTAAGTTGTAGTGGTTCTGGTGACTACAGTGCCCCTTTAAGAATTGTATTTTTGTTGTTGTAAATTAAACTTTGTTAGTTTAACAAAAAAAAAAAAAACTTGCTCCTAGATTCAAAGCAAATTTGTCAAGCCTTGTTCCAAGCTAGGTGGATTTGTTCCCAAACTAGCTGGCTAATACTCTGCACACATCCACATACACCACTTGTGTGTCAGAGTGCTATCTGTAATATACCGTCAGTTTGGCAGAAGGCCGTGTCTTGATTATGTAATAAAAGGAACAGGCGATCCAAACCTTTTGTGGGTGTGGTGTGTTGTGTGTTTTGTGTTTTTTTTTTTTTTTTTCTTCTTCTTCTTTCTTTGTCTCTTCAAATTGGCACACTATCCTGCTTGTTTATGGCAAGGGAGCTGGAATGACTCCTCTCCTTTATGACTATTGCGTCATTAACATGCTGTCACCTGTGTTGGCTTCCCTTCCTTTTCTGGTCTCCTTCTCAAAGATGAAACCTACATATCCTTTAGTATGAGAAGCCAAATGAAATTTAAAATTCTATTAAAAAAGAACAGTTCAATAATGTATACAATTTTTAATCTTAATGTTGAACTTTGGTTGTCAGTTGACAATAATCCACTACTTTTAAAGGGAAATTATAGGCACCCAAACAAGTTTTTAAGCTTTAATGAAGAAGTTTTGGTGTATAGATCGGGCCAGTGTAGTCTCACTGCCATTTAGGAATTAAATAACTTTGTTTATGCAGCCCTAGTCAAACCTCCCTGCATGTGACTTGCACAGCCTTCCTAAACACTTCCTATAGAGTCATGTAATGTTTACACTTCCTTTATTGCACAGTCTGTATAATTACCAGTTTTTACTAATTTCATGACGTAAAGTCGTGATTTTATTAAAGACACAGAGGCGAGTATTATGCTTAATCTTTCCTTAATTCTCAGCAGCAAAGAAAGGATACTGTCATATTCATAGAAAAAACTTTAACATAAACCCTCAAAGGGCTAACCCATAAGAATGCTCTCTGTATTATAAACCCTGTATTATAAATGTGACCTAAGCCACTCCTCTTTCTTGTTGATGCCAGCGAAAAACTCAGTTCAAGAAAACTTATGATCAACGTGGAACAGAAACCGCAACTCCTTAGGTAGATGAACTGGAACTCCATGGGGGAACTCCGTTAAACCATGAAAAAAAAAACAACAATGCACAACGGTGCCAAATCCAATTTTTATTAGGCTGAAAGGGCAGAGAAACAACTGGTAAAATATTTTTTTTTTGGACCACAAAAATACATCCATAATACGTCATTAAATAGAGTAATAACTCCAAAGTACTCAGAATCGTAACTTACAAGAATGCTCAACAAGTGCATACCCCGTAGTATCAGAATTTAATTCACAAATAAAAAAAACATATGAGGGAGGGCGCCAACATACCTGCACCAGGTGGGATAATATTTGCCTCCGTGCCTTTAATAAAATCATGACTTATCATCATGAAATATGTAACATCTGGTAATTTTATTAAAGGACACGCAGGCTCATTTTATGCTAGTTCAAAGCTGTGAAACACCACATCAGAAAAATGAGAAACTGGATGAAAATAAAATTCTCAAAGTGGATTCACGGAACCAATCCGCAGCCCGGAGGAGATCTTCCAATCTGTATCCATTGCTGAAAGCTCTAGATGCCATGTCTCCCCTGACAGAATGTGCCCCATACACAATGAAGTGTTGATGCCATCCAACATCATGATCCATTTGACCCAAAGAGATAAGGTGACTGTAGAAACAGGATGAGGAGGTTGTTGAAGTGCCAAGAATAATTCCTGGCGCGCCGGTTCATGATTTTAGAGAAGTCCTAGATTCGTATTCCTTGAGACTGTAAATTTTTCCTCCTGTCGCGATATGACCGCAGCGCAAGCCCCAACCAAGGATGCTTGCATCCAACTCCACTACGATTCCGGGATGGTCCCGAAGATTGTAGTAAAGTGGGCCTGGGAAGATGGCCTGGATCAAGGCTGAGAGAAGGCCGATGATCCTGGCCAGTTGTCGCAGTGTAAGCACCGTGCCAGTGTCTGACCGATTTCCTTCCTGATGGTCTTTATCTTGGATGGTGGTGGGAGTGCCCCTTCCACTGAATTGATGGTGAAACCCAGGTATTCTAAGGACTGAGAGGGTTCTATGACCGACTTGTCCCAGTTGATGAGGAAGCCAAGGTTGCAAAGTAAAGTCCTCGTCCAAGCTAAATGTTGGTGGAGTAAGAGTGGGTCTTGTGCCATCACAAGTATATAATCAGATGAATCCCTCTGCTTTGCACGAGGGCCACCACGGGTCTCATGAGCTTTGTGAAGCACCAAGGGGATGATGATGATGATGATGATGAGACCGAAGGGCAAGCATTGGAAATGCCACATGGTCATCTCACACCGGAATTGCAGAAATTTTGGCCATTGGCACAGTGAGGTAAGCGTCCTGAAGGTTGAGCTTGACTATCCAATCCCCTAGTAGGAGTGAGTCTCGGAGGGAGTGAATACCTTCCAGCAAGTCTGCGGGAGTACCAACCGTCAAGGCAGTAAGAATATTTTCGCACTGAGTCAGAGGACGTCCAGTACTTTGTCTTGGTAGGGAAAAATCTAGGCCTTTCTTGGCCTTCCACCCAGACTTGCTCATAAATTGTGCCATCTTGGGGTCCACGTCTGGTGTGGCATAAGTCTGGAACCGTGGGCATTCCACCCTTAGTTTGTTCCTTGCTATTTTATCAAGTGGTTTCCTGATACGTGCGGCGATATATTTCGCCACGTGGTCCAGTGGGAACCACTCTGAAGATCTCTGATACTGCATCCAGATCAAAAATTGGTTCACTCTGGGTAAGAAGGATGGTGGAGTCATCCACATCATCCTTAGGTTCATTCTAACATGGATAACTGACCATGGTCAAGAAAGAATTTACCTGAATTGAAAGGCTTGGAGCGAGTCCCCATCGTTGGACTCGCTCCAAGCCTCCTCTTCATCTGACTCTGATTTGGATGATGCTATTAGGGCTTTTGCCCTTTTCCAATTCCTTGCCGATTTTTGCCCGGTGGTTGGCTCTTAGTTGTGGTGCGACCACATCATCTTTGACAGGAGGTTCCCTGTCCAATTTTGTACAATTTTTAGAGGCGTCCACGTCTAAGTGGCAAGATTTTTTTTGGGCGGCTTTTTGCCCACCTGTCATAGCCGGTTTATTCTCCGGTGGTTCAGAGAGATGTGGACATAAGGGCATGGCTGATAGTGGGACAAGGTGTCCGACATGGCCCCCATAGCAGAATAAAAATGAGTCCCCGACTTGGCCTTTGTAGCATCCAGGAGGGAATTAAGCTCTGCAGAGTTCAATTGCTCATGTGATGCTTCATCAGTATTAGGCAAGCTAGGGGGTCTGGGCACAACCTGGGGCGTAGGGTGCCTAGTGGTACTACCAGAAGCACCATTAGTGGCAGCTCCCAAGTCATTCTCTTACTGCATAATAACTAAGGATTGCACAGGAAACTCGCCCAAAATCAAAATGGCAACGGGTTATGAAAGGAGCACACCCCTTAAAGATCCCCAAAGTGCTGGAAAGATTAAAGTGGCACTGTCATTAACCTTTCTTTAATCGATTCCTCTTTTCTCCCTCTGTCGGGATCTGTTCATTTCTTCCTGTATTCTCTAGTTTTCCTTAAAACAAAAGAAAAAGTAGGGACTATTTGTGACAAAATGCCTTTTGTCCCTGGATTGTTAGGTGACAAGCTGCCCTTTGCCCCTGGCTTTTGGAGGAGCCTGATTGCCAGCCTCCTTCCTCATGACTATGGCCCTGGGGTGTATTGCCATTTAAAAAAGACTATTTGGGGCTTATTGGCTTCTAAAGACCGTTTCTTCCCATTGGAATCCATGTGTGTTTCTTCCCCTCCCCCGTTTCCTGTCTATTGTTCACCTAGATTGGGCGCTCAGATCCGAGCTATCTGGGGATAGGTTAAATGTGGGGGTTCTGTGTAATATAATAAGAATTATGTATTTTTATGTACTTTTACGTATTTTTGCTGTTAGTGTAAAATGTAGATATTTTCTGTACCTGGAGATAATTGAGTTTACTGCAGTGCCTTAAGCCAATTATCTCCAGGATGGAGAGGAGGGATTTCATTGTTTATGTGAGAGTGTTATCATGTTAATTAGTGTTCCCATTGGTTTGTGTCCCTTTTGTCACAGTTTACCACCAGGTCCAGGGGGTGTGCCTCTGACCTGAAAACTTTTATATAAGGAGTAATAAACGCTCATTGGAGTCAGATCATCTTGTACCTTCATGAAGTTTCGGCTCATGTTTGGGGGATTGGAGAAACTACACTCTGGGGATTGCTATAATCACTATACTCCCCAGGTTATATTCACTAAGCTCTGCTAAGAGCTTGTTCCTGTTCCTGCTCTCTGGAATTGGGAGAGAGGTCGACCTGCTCGAAGCTGGACCCTGGTCCTGGGTCCAGAGTGGGTGGAGTCGGCGAGACCCCAACCAAGCTGCGGCGGTTCGTGGGGTCTGCAGTGGTTATGGTGTCAGGCAGAGTGCTTGGAGTCCTCGGAAAGCACTAGGAGCATCCGTCGGCGGAAGGTACCCGGTCGGGGTGCCAGCGGTTCCGTTACACTATTGTCTTATGGAGGTTTCCTACACCTGACCAACGGAGGAGCAAAGTGTGTTTCTTTTCCTGTGGTCAAAGCCATTTCCCTACTATTTTCACCTTTGATTCGTGATCTTGCGATGCTTCCGGTCAGTATTCTCAAACATCCTGTCACTTAGAACGCCGGCGAAACTACCGAATTGCGTCCTAACAGAATGAGAACAGTTTGTTCATTCATGTTAGGATGCAATTCAGGACTTTCATTTCATTCATCTGAATGTAAGAAACTCCAATCCTATTTGTACCGCAGCTGCATCTTGCAGTTGCTTAGTAGATAACTCCCTAATTTCCACGGTATCCGAGAGTTATCTACCAAAAGGCTGAAAGATTACTTGGTATTAGTAAATTCTGCCACTACTCGCTATATCACGAGTAGGGGCATGTCTATTAAACAGTGAGCTGCCTGTGGCTGCTCACTGTTAAAAATTTTTTTTTTTTTTTTTTAAATTAAAATAACCCACTCCCTCCCCCTCAATAAATGGCCCCATGATGGGGCATGAGCTAGTGTGCCCTGCAAGTGGGGGCTATTAAAGCCATGAGTGGCAGATGGGGGCTGGTGGGGACTTATTTGACTAACACCACTCTGGTTGCTATTAAACAACCAATCATAGTTATGAGTCAAATTACACAGCATGGGAAAATTCCAAAGAACTTTCCCACGCTGTGTAAAATGACACGGAGCACCCTGGTTGGATTTCAAGCCAACCAATCAGAGTGCTGTGACAGGTAAATGTAGACTTACCTGTCAGAGCACTCTGATTTGGTTGGCTTAAACCAACTAATCAGTGCTCGGAGCCTAATTGCAGGGTGTGCACTGCGGAGCTCAGTCTGTACTGTTACCTCTATGGGTGAAGATGGATTATTTTTATTTTTTTCCCGCAAAGGTTTTTTTCTTCTTTTCAAAGTCCGATGGGTATTATGGACTTTTATTTAGCCTTTTTTGGGGCTGAAAACAGACCTCAAATGGTAAGTCATTTTTTTTTATTTACAGGGATTTAGTTTTATTGTTCTCCCCACAATATTTCTAAAAAAAAAAAAGTGTGTGTGTGTGTGTGTGTGTGTGTGTGTGTATATATATATGTATATGTGTATGTGTGTGTATGTGTATATATATGTATATGTGTATATATATATATATATATATATATATATGTATATATATATATATATATATGTATATATATATAATATAAATAAAAAAAAATTATTTTTTTATTTTTTTTTTATAACCGTGAGCAGCCACAGGCTGCTCACAGTTTACTAGATATGTCTCTACTCGCCGCATAGCGAGTAGTGGCAGAATTTACTAATACCAAGTAATCTTTACTTAGTATTAGTAAATTTAGCTGAAAGACCAATTTAGGTCTTTTGGTAGATAACTCCCTAATTCCCACGGTATCAGGGAGCTATCTACTAAGCGACTGCAAGATGCAGCCACGGCACGAATAGGATCAGTTTCATTAATTCGCATTAAATTACGACCCAAACAAAGTCCCGAATTGCATTCTAACACGAATGGAGAAACTGTTCTCATTCTGTTAGGACGCAATTCGGTAGTTTCGCCGGCGTTCTGTCAAGTGACAGGACGTTTGGGAGTACTGACAGGAAGCATCGCGAGATCATGGATCAAAGATGAGAATTGTAGGAAAATTGCTCTCTTTGTCTTCCGCTAGTCAGGCGTAGGAAACCTCCATCAGACCAATAGTCCTTACTTTGTCTTTTGTATTAAAGAAAACTAGAGCAGATAGCAAGAAATGAAGAACAGATCCTGACCGAAGGAGAGAAGAGAAATTTGATTACAAGTTGAAACTGAATTTGTTTTATTTTATAAATTCACTCAGATGGTGAGGCACTACCAGGGTAGTTAATAATTCCACGCTAAGCATGGGATCACTATTACAGTTTACATTGTAGGGTTAAAATTACTTCCTCCAAAAGAATTGGTCGTGGTGAGTGTTTCTTTAATACTCAATTTTCTGCATGTGTATTTTTAGGACTTTTTTTTTTTTTTTTTAATTTGGCCTCAAGGCAGTGATTGTTGATTCTGAAGTGTAGCACTGAGGAAGAATAGAATTGCGAAATACTGTGGTTTTCTTTTTAAAGAGGACTAAAACATTTCTAAGCATATTATGCACGGGTTTTTAGAATGTACACCTCTTATTATTGTTTACCTTGAATTTAAAGTCTTAATTCAGAAGCCATTCTTCTATCATATTTTCCCAAATTCCTTGAGCCCTTACTTCTTAGACGATTAACAAGTTAATTTTTTTTCATTCATTCAGAATAATTTCTGGGTTTTTATTTATTTAGTTATTTATTGCTGCATAGTTTGTGGAACAAGTGCAGCAACGCTTTGACCTGTAGTAATAATTACAGCCTCGTGACTGAAACCTTGTTGTATGCTTGTGCAGATTCCAGTGTGACTTTTACAAAAAATTTTATTATTGTATTTTTTTTATTTTCTCGATGCTACTGATTTGAAAGCTACACTCAAATGGAAACTATAGTGCCAGGAAAACCGTTGTCCTCCGTCGCAGCTCCGTTGTGCAAAAGGGGTTAAAAACCCATTCTCTCTTACCTGGTTCGGGCTCCACCTCTGCTCCTCCCCTGCCGATGTTGGCCAGTGGGGGAAACCTAATGTGCATGCACAGCAATGGCTGCGCTCGCATTAGTACTTCCTCATAGGAAGGTATGTAAATTGCTTTCCCGTGGGTTTGTACATGACGCTGGATGTCCTCATGCATACCGTGACGGAGTCCAGCATCAGTCGACCAAAAGTCCTAGCGTGATGACTACAGCTGGCTGTAGTGGTTATGGTGTTTAGTGTATACTTTTTTTTTTTTTTTTACCTAAAAAGTCTGCAGGACCAAAATAAATGACGTCTATAAACCCGCATTGTACAGTCTTAGAAAATGGCTCCATCCATACGTTAGGGGTATAATGGAAGGAGAAGAAAGCACGCAAAGGTGTTTGTGTTTTTTAAAGGAAGGTTTAGTTTAAAAACGAAAAGCTTTTTACACATAAATCTTCTACTGATCTATTCATTTCTATAACTGAAACTACCATTATAGGTTTAGTTTTCCCATTAATTTATTTTGTGTTGGTTATAAACCCAGGTCTATATGATCGCTTGAAAATGTTCGCCCAGGGGGTAGAAAAATTTTTTTTATATATCCTGTTGGAAAGTGATAAGAATGAGGAAGCTTCACCATGGCAACATCGTGTTCTGTCAAGGAAAAAATATACTGTCAGGAGCCTTTCCCTTGCATTCTAACATATGCTGTCATAATGCAATCCCTTCTAATTAACCATTTACCAAGCATGGTAAGGATATGGGGGAGGGGTGCTGGTAAATAACAGCTGAATCAAGTGTTGGATATGTTAATACTCTGCCTTTGCAAGCTGCTGCACGAGTATTTTGTAGAATTTAAGTTGTCTTTGAGGTGTATTTTGTGTTTATCAATGCTTGGGTTATGTCAGTGTTTGCGATCTGTAAGTAGGTGTGCATTTGATTTATATAATTATACATGTTCATTTATGTACCTTGAAGAGGATGTACTCTGATACTTTGCCAGCTTTACAAAAGGATTCTCTACTTCAAGGGTCGACCGTCTTCAGCACTCCACATCCTGTGGACTACATATCTCTTGATGCTTTACCAGCATTATGGCTTTAAGAAAATTATGGGAGATGTCGTTCTGGAGTGCAGAAGGTTTCATTTTTCTTCTCTAGTTAATCAGTTGGTTCCATACAACTGGTACTGAAGAAATGTGCACTTTTTGAAAAGCTGTATTCCTACCACTAGGGTCCCTCTGCTCCCCCCTCGTGCCAATTCCCTCCGGTGGCACACAAATTATTCCAGCCCCGAAGTCCCTTGGCACTGGGTTCTACTCCTGCTCTGCTGACGTCACCCGAGGAGGGGGAGGGCCGGGTGCTAATGCATATGCACGGCAAGCACCACATGCGCGTTAGGCCTTCCTCATTGGAAAGCCTTGAGCAATGCTTTCCTATGAGGTTTTAGAAGACTCTGTGCGTCCTCATGCGTAGTGTGAGGCTGTCCAGTGTCGTTTCACAGAATCAAACTCCATGAAAGACCAGGAAGCGCCTATACTGGCTGACTGACAGCCACTAGAGGCTGTCAACCCTGCAATGTAAAAAAGCTTCTCTGAAACTGCAATGTTTGCAGCTGCAGGGTTAAGAGGACAAGCCACGGCACCAAGACTACTTCAATGAGATGACGTGATCTGGGTGCCTATAGTGTCCCTTTTAGGATTTTATCAGTATCCCTTTTAAGGGTTTTTTTGCACTCTTGATTGAGTCGTTTTGCTGAATTATCGGCTCACGAGATGCAATGTTTATCTTTATTTCCGCACATATGCTTTAATCATCTGCAACTTTTAATTTTGTTATAACTTAGTCTCCCCTTATACAATGTGTCAACATATGTTCTGTTTAGTAGCAACTTTCTCTCTTTATTTTTTTTTTTTTCCCTGTAGGTTTCATAGTTCCCCAGTATAGAGTTACTTTACAATTTAGGTGCAATTGATTGATTTATTGAGATTTGTCTAATTTTTGGAAGTGTGAATTATTCTTATTACCATCACATTATTGCTACCCAAATCAACCCTCATTCAGTCAAATGTTGCTATCAGGGGCGCATTCGATTCCCAGGTCGAGTTTTGCTCGGGATATTGTGTCTCACAAAGTGCACTGGGACTGTGTAATTGCAGCACGAGAGGAAAATTCCCTCTCATGCTGTATGTTCAAGAACGGTTATCGATGCTTGGCAGCTCACTAAACCCAGCACCAATCACAGAGTAGGAGTCAAGCAGGAAGACCTTACCAGCGTCTCTTGCACCCTGATACTGAGCACAATTACAATTCCGATCACATTCAGCCACAAATTAATTTAAGAACTACGTACTGTACTCGCTTAGAGTGCTGCACATGGCTCATCTGTCAGTTTTGGGCCACTAACCCTCCGGTATTGAAAAGATTTAACCTTTTACGGGAGGTGGGCAGGTTTTTTCCTGTCCTACCCTCCGGTCTCTTGTGCTTTCTATATATATTTTGATTTAACCTTTTAGTACATTTAATGCATGATAGTCTATGACACCAGTGGGCATAGACAATCTTGTGATCACCCCCTGTCCCCCCCACCCCCCTCCAATTTTTGTATTTGCATTTTGAGGGGGAGTGGAATGGGGGCGTGGAATGTCAAGGAATAAGCAGAACCGCAAAATATGATTGTATTTCTCGGGATCAAACCTTTTGAGCACATTGTAAGACTATACACCACTGCTGTGCAACATCTGGCATCCTACCTAGTGAGGAGCACCCTTGCGTGTTAATCTGTTCTGGCGTCTGGTTCTGTTTTTGTTTTGTGGTTTTACTGGTAGTCTTTCACGGTTTTTTAGTGAGATGAGAAATCTGCTTACTGTAGTGTGAGTCACAGCCAAGGAATCTGTATGCAGGATGAGGGAAAAAATTGGGGTCCATTTAATGCCTCTGATATAGTCTACAAAATATTTTGCAGTATTTTAAGTGGAATAGAAACTTTGACATACAGAAACATTCATTAAAACTGGATACCTATATATAACTTTAAAAAAAACAAAATCAAACACGAATAGAAATGTGCTACCATGCTATCAATTTTTGTTTTAACATACAAACTTAACATGTATACACATCTGAAACTGACTTTGTTACTTTATATATAATATCCCTTTATTTTATCCCTCCAGGTGTAAAACACTACTCCTATGGCATTGTATAGCACTTTTGCATATGCTGGCACATCTCTCTGTCTCTGTGCTGTACAATGCCATATGAGTGGTGTTTTACATCTGGAGGGTTAAAATTAAGGGATTGTGGACTGTAGTTAAAACATTTGGCAGGACAGATGTTGTTAATTTACAATTTCCATCATGCTTCATGATGAGGAGGGGCAGTATCCACAGCAGCTGGGGAGCCAGAGATGGCAAGTTGCTGGTGTTCATTAAAGAGATGCTGGGATGACTCCTAATACCCATCCTTTTCCCCATTCTCCTTTCAGTTTGTAGAAATGCTTCCCCACCTTCTCTATTGAATAGATGTATATAGATATTCCTCGAAGCACTGATGTCCCTGTTGCTGCTGTATCATTATAGCTCACTTCCTTTAAGTGGTTATGAATGTGGCATTTGATCGCATTGATGGAACTTGTGAACTAGGAAGATGCACACACTGAACATGCATTATAAAGTGTATAATTTGTTTTCTGGCATTAGGATGCCTATTCTGCACAAACTAATTCTGCAGTGTATAAACTCCCACTCCATTGAGTGAAGATCAGTATGCTGGAGACTGGAAGGATCTCATGTTGGGATTTGCACAAAACTGTATGTAAAACGTAATGCGTACCTATATTGTATACCCCTTCATGCTGCCTTGTTTTTGCCTTTGTTTAATGTGCTTAAAATGTGCAAATGGATTATAATTCAACCTCTTCATGTATAAATTGTAGTCCCATCTATAAATGAAAAGGTACACGTGAAATAAACCATGATGAAACTGAATTTAAAATAATTTTTTTTTACATTTTTCTTTTTAATATAGAAAAATATATATATTCAGCTTTTATCACAATTTCACATCATATTTAATTTGTTTAAATTTTATCCTAGAGGTAGATTCATTTCTCCTAATGGCAGGTCCTGCAAAATTTGCATGTTTAATAGGAATGTATAGTTCAAGACTGAGTGCAGATTTGCACAGATGAAGTTTATGTGGATCAGCCATTTCCTTTACAGCTTCAGCATGCTGTGTGCGTGGGAGGCAGGAGAATATTTCCTGCAAAGCTCCTCAGAGAGAAAGGGAGAGTACGTGCGCATGTGTAACAGCCAAACTAGTTTATGTACAGATGACAAAATAACAAATATTACCGCATGCATGGACTTGTTTGAATCCGGTGGTGGGATTGTTTTTTTTGTAAATATTTTTTTTTATTTTTTACAAAAGTGAACACAAATGCATTTTAGAAGCTAGGCTTTCTAGTGCTTACAATTTTTTTTTTTTTTTTTTTTATATTTTCAATACGTATTGTAGCAGAGTCATTTAAAATAGTTGCAGAGCTCAGTTTGCTATTTGCTGTTCAGGTTGGTCTGGCCAGGAGCTGCAGTTTAGCCTTGACATGAAAGATGGGAAGTGCTACCCATAGACTTTCACGTCACTGTACAGTATAATTTTTAAAGCTGCTAGCCCAAGAACAAGTTTGAATTTGCCCCCCTGTTGCTCCCTGCATCATTCTTCCTCATAATGCATTGTAGTGTTTTCATTTTAGGCTCGTACATGCAGCTATGTGAAGCCGGTTGTCACATTCCGCTCTGCAGTGCATCAATCACACACTATAGCTTGTTTATCACCAGGACATTTTAAATTTCTGTGTGCAAAGAAATGGGATTAAATGACCACTATAGGCACCCAGACCACTTTAGCTCAATGAAGTGGCCAGGTCCATTTAGGGTTAACCCTGCAGCTGTAAACATAGCCGTTTCAGAGAAACTGCTGTTTACACTAGGGTTTCTCCAGGCTGTAGTGGCTGTCTCAGTGAAAGCTGCTAGAGGCGCTTCGCACTGTGATTTCCACAGTGAGAAGACTCCATCGTCCATAGGAAAGCATTGAGAAATGCTTTCCTATGGACTGATTGAATGCGCGCATTCGGCGGATGACGTTGAAAGAGGGAGGAGAGTCCCAAGTGCCGAGGGTGCCTGGCGCTGGAGAAAGATAAGAATTTAACCCCTTCCTCCCCCTTCAGCCCGGCGGGAGTGGAACCCAGAAAGTGGTGGCGACCCAAAGACTCTACAGAGCCAGGAAAACAAATTTGTTTTGTTGGCACTATAGTGGTCCTTTTAAGTCCCCTAATACTAGGGGTCTGAAAGGGGGAAAACTAAGCAGGATGGAATCACAATAAATTCCTAGTAGTGTCTGTGATTTGTGGCTCAGAAAGCATACGTATGTGTTCTATCAAGGATGTCACTTAGGAATTGGCTTTAAAGGGACACTCAAACCGAACTACTACAGTGTCAATGGGATTTGTCCATTAAAAAAAATAAAAATCCTTTTTTTTTTTTTTTTTTGCTCCTTTAATTTTTTTTTTTTTAGATTTATTCACTCTTTTCTTGTTTCTTTTGGTTCTGGCAAATGCCCACTGTTTTTAATATTTCTTGACAATACCTCATCTGCCTGCATCTCACCACGCGTTTATTGTATCAAGGCATATTTATGTATATGTATTTCTGGTTCAAAGTACCAGTTGCTTTTATTGCCTGTGTGTATATGTATGTATGTATATATATATGTGTGTGTGTGTGTGTATATATATATATATATATATGCCATATGCCAAGAACATGTTTGTGAATGGGAGATTAAATATAGACCAACAACAAAGCTTTGGCAACACTGAGGTTTTTAAGTACACAAACGGAAACCTGTGAAGTTTTCAGAATGCCACAGCTGCACTTAATGTGCACCGTGTTATAGCCAATCTCTGCCAGTCAGCCATAGCCTTTCCCCTCTGCCGTTTAGCAATTCGTCAATCTTTGACACTGATATGACTTTGTAGAATTTGGTTTTCTTGACTTCAGAATTGTCATTTATAACCGCTTCTTCTTATCCTACATAATCTCTGTCTACAAGATATTGCTCTCTCCTGGTGCTCCTCCTACTTCACCCAATGCTCTTTTAGTGTTTCTTTCTCTGGCTCTGCCTCTTCCTCCCAACCTCTCTGTTGGTTTCCCCGCAAAGTTTAGTCCTAGGCCCCCTATTGTTCCTGATCTATACTGCCTCCCTTGGTAAACTCATCGGCTGCTTTGGTATACAATATCACTTTTATGCGGATGACACTCAAATCTATCTGTCCTCCCCTGATCTCTCCCCGTCCCTCTTGACTAGAGTCTCTGCTATTTCTAACTGGATGGCTTCTCACTTCCTTAAGGTCAACTTGTCCAAAACAGAACTTCTGGTCTTTTCTCCCTTAAGTGTTGCTACTCCCGTTTCGGTCTCCCTCCAAGTCAATGGTGCTACCATCAGCTCCACCACGCAGACTCGCTGCCTAGGTGTTCTTCTTTGACTCTGACTTCTCCTTCACCCCTCATGTTCAGTCGATTGCCAAATCCTGCCGCTTCCATCTCAAAAATATTGTGCGCATCCGCCCCTACTTAATGCCAGATGCGGCTAAGGTGCAGGTCCATGCCACTGTCCTCTCTCGCCTTGACTACTGCAATCCGCTTCTCAGTGGTCTTACGTGCTCCCAACTTGTCCCATTGCAGTCTATAATGAATGCGAGTCTCCTCTCCCTGTCCGCCCGCACCTCCCACGCCTCACCCCTCTGTCCGTCCCTTGAATTGGCTTCCCGTAAGATATAGGGCTCAATATAAAATTCTGGTTCTTGCTTTCAAATCTCTACATAATGCTGCTCCCACCAATCTATCCTCCCTAATACACAAGTATGTCCCGTCTAGGCCCTCACGCTCTGTTGAAGACCTACGTCTATCCTCTGTTCGTACTTCCACCTCTGATGCTCGCCTTCAAGACTTCCGTTCCTCTGGAACTCTTCCCTTTTCCATAAGTTGCTCACCTAGTCTCCACTCGCTATGTAAAAATAATACACAATGTCATGGGGCTTATCTCCAGCAGCACTCTGCTATATAATTATTATTTTATTCTTTATTTTTTCTACCCCTGAAGGATCACTGGTATTTTATGTTAAAGTTGCTATTGGCAGTTAGTCCTTAAAGACTGTTCTATTTTGCACCTTAAATCTTTTGGAAGCCTAAAAGCTGGCTGGCTATAAAGGTTACATGTATTTCCCAAACCTCAGATATCTTTCCCTCCCCTAGACTAGATTGGAATGTTCTAATTTAATCAATGGAGCAGCCGATGGGAAGTACTCAGGGTATTCTATGTCCCCATGGACCATAATGGCATGCCATTATTTCATAAAGCGTTAAGAGTATTTGTTAATTGACTCTTTACAACATTTTACCCACAAAATAGCTTAAAGGTCATATTTAATATGTATAAACGCTGTACACACGTTAAAGATTGTACCTTCTATGAAGACCTGTCACTCGAAAAAACTTTAATGTGATCGTCTCTCTGTCGTGCTTTTGTGGTGTAGTTATTTTTAACACATGCTGCTGGTTGTGGTCCGTGTTTCAAACAGTTGGTGTTTAATAGCTTCTTTCGGGTAGATGCATGCATACGTATAGTGGATTATCTGTCTAAAGGGACAGTATAGGCACCCATACCACTTCAGCTCATTGAAGTGGTCTGGGTGCAATGTCCTTAGTGCAGGACTCGACAAATCCCAGGTCGCCATGGTGACTTTGAATTTTGCTCTGGCTCCTGGGATTGGTCAGCCCGTTCCCTCCTCTTCCTCCTATCTCAATCCCTGTGTAGTGTAGGAAGTGAGCTGTAATTACTTTCTCTCGGCACTGAGGCTGCACAGCAGGCCACCTGGCAAAGCTAGCAGGACACCTGTCAAAATCGTCTGTTCACCGCCCGCCCCCATTTCACAGACCCACCCGCCTGCACAGTTGTTCCCCTGTGCGGCTTCATCGCCGGGAGGAAGTCATTGCAGATCCCTTTACTTCCTCCCAGCACACAGTGAGCTGCACGTGATATCGAGACAGGTGGAGGAGAGGAGTCATGACCAGCGGCAGCCCACTCCCATTAGGCGCAGCCAGCCCCACCAGTCTGCCTCCTGCTGTGCCCAGTCCCACTGGACCCCAAGGAAGCCACTCTCCTGCTCCCAAAAGGTAGGAAACAGGAGAGTGGCTAAAAATATGTATCACTTTTATTTTATTTTTTTAATTTCTGTGTGTTTATCTGTCATGCATGTATGTCTGTGTGTGTGTATGTATTTGTGTGCATCTATGATTCTTTGTGTGTGTGTGTATCAAATAATAACTAACTTGTGATGGTGTGTGAGAGGCTGTCCCTGTCTATCTAGCTCTATCTATGTGTGTGTGTCTCTGTCTCTGTGTGTTTCTATCTGTGTGTGTGTCTGTCTGTCAGTAAATGTGTATGTTTAGGTCACCAGCCCCCCTCCGATCGCATGGGAATGGTGTTTTTACTCACCTGTTTTCAAACGCCATGCCAGTCTCGCCGCAGCTGGCTAGCCTCAATAACTGAGATTATTAATTACCAATCAACATCTTCTCATAGTGAAGCATTAAAGCAATTCATCTCTATGGGGAACGTTCAGCGCCGTCTCAATGCTGAATGTAGGTGCTGCATATTGTGCAGCACTGAGATAGGAGACACTTTAGTGGCTGTTGGAATGGCTGCCACTAGGGGTGTTACTAGGCAGCAAGGTAAACACTGACTTTTCTCTGAAAAAGCAGAGCTTACATTGAAAAACCTACAGGGACAGGTTCTAGACACCATAGTCACTAAACTAAGCCGTAGTGTTTCTGGTGACTAGACGGTCCCCATAAGAATTGTATTTTTGACGCTGAAAAAAAACTGGCTCCTAATTTTTTTAGCTGGCTCCTTGATTAAAAGCAAATTTGTCAAGCCCTGCCTTAGTGCTTCAATGTAAACATTGCAGTTTCTATGGAACTGCAATAACATTGTACCACCAAGTTTGCCTCCAGTGGTTGTTTCCAAAAACTGACCTTTTGGTCTGGTGTCTGACGGTCGACGTCCTTGTGCTCTGCATGAGGTCATCCAGCGTCAGATTTCCCCCCTCCCCGTAGGAAAGAATTGATTCAATGCTTTCCTATGGAGGGGAGCGGAGGTCTAATGCGGCATTTGCTGGACATGCGCATTAGCACACACTTGTCACGGGACAGAGGTAGAGACATGACCCAGTGTCAAGGGCCCTCTGCGATGTGATCCTTTAAGTAAATAAATGTGTGTTTTTTTTTTTTTTTTTTCTGTGTCTGTATATCTGTAGGTCTGCCGTTTGTCTCTGATATCTTTTAAACAAGCTGCCATAGAGTGTATACTGAGGCTTGTATCTTTATTGTATGTAATAGGATGCTGTGATTGTTACACTCTTGACTATTAATTATTTTTTATTTTTATTTTTTTTATTATCAGTCATCGGTGTGCTCAAAGATTGTGCAACTTCTAGGGCAGAATGAGGTAGACTACCATCAGAAGCAGGTAGTGATGCTGAGCCAGGACAGCTTCTACCGAATACTCACTGCAGAGCAGAAGGCTAAAGCACTCAAGGGCCAATTTAACTTCGATCACCCAGGTAAGGCCCTGTTGTGCTGTTTAGTTTGCGAATGTCTCTACTTAATGCAGACAATACTTCTAATCCCCATGTCTGCAGATGTATTCTTCAAATGTGTTTGTATTCTTACATCGTAAATTTAATTTTAAAAATGCATTGTGAATTAAAAGATGGCTGACTTGTGGCATGGATGAAGTCTAATGCCTTTTTAGCCTAAAGAAATAATCCAGCACAAAAACCACTACTGTGAGCTGTAGTGGTTATGGTGCCCAGCATGCCCTGTTGCCCTCCCATTGTAAGTAGTCAAACTGATTTAGAACGGTTTGCCTTCTCACTTGGGTTCTGTAGGTGCTTTTTCCCTGTCTCAACTACGTCAGAATTTCTGGCTTTGTCTGACCTAAGTTCAGGAGAGGTAACCAAAGATCCTACATGAAGTAGTGAAAATGGGCAGCAGAGCCTTGCAGATCCCAGGTAAGAAGTCAGATTGTTCTAAATCTGTTCTAAGGTGCACTGTAGTGGTTATGGTGCTTGGAGCGATCATAAAAAGCAGGGTTTTTTTTTTTTTTTTTGGTTTTCCTCTTTCGAAAAACACCGTAGACACAACTGGGTTATCTCTGAATCCTGGACTGTTAGGAGGTACTTGAGGACTGGGTTAGAACCACGGATATAAAGGAACACTCTTTAAGGATAAAATGTATTTTCAATAGCAAAGTGTTCCTTTTATTGCTTCAGTCCCCCTCCCTTTAAAATGTAAAAATTATTAAACTTTGAGATCATCAATCATCCTTGAAGATACAGTCCAATTCTTCTCATTGGCAACATTTTTCATTTTCCGATTACAGGGACAGCATCTGTATACCAAAATTGCTACATTGATTTTAAATTATTCTAGCTCTTTTTCTTTTATGAGATTTAAGTACAAATAAGTTTAAAAAAAAATACACTAACACTTTTAAATAGTATATAAATCCCTATATAATCACTGAAGAATGAGTAACCGTTCCATAAGCAGTACTTTTATGTATAACTACTTATGTAACACACATGTTTTAGAATTGGTTTAAAGCGCTCTAGCGAAGACACTGGTTGGGTTTTTTTTTTTTTTTTCTTCTGTGTGATTTTATTTGAAATTCATAGACTACGTTAAACATGAGTCTGTTAAAATGTAAACCACACCAGGTATTTAGAACATAACCGTGCCAGCATTTCCTGTTGTAAATATGATCTCCACTAGATGATAATGCACCTTGGAACTTTCTCATGTCAGTGTTGTTGTGTTTAAAGGGGCCGTAAAGAAACCTATTTTATGTATTTCTGATACACAAATATTCTGTTTGGTTGGACAAATCCTACTACATTCCCTAAGTGGAATATAGGAAAACATTTTTCCTTATTAATACATTTTTCTTAGAATTAAGAAAATATTTGATGTCTGTCTTAGTTGATATAGGTGTGTGTATGTGTTTAAGAAAAACACAAAAATGCATTGCACTCTGCAAATGTAGGGGGGGGGAGGTTGGACGGGATGGGACAGGAGGCAGAGGAGGGTGGAGACCATTTCAAGGGTCCATATTGGCGTTACTAACATTGTCCACTTCAGCTTGCCAGGTAAATTTATTTATTTATTTCTTTTTTTTTTAAGGTTTGGTTACAGTGGTGGTAGTATGGTGTGATAGCTAAACTAAACATACCTTTATATTACTATAGGGACATACCTGATTGGTTTCAATGGCGAGTGTCCCACTTTACAGTATTTTAGAACAGAACACTTTGATAAAGCTCCCCCAGCGTTTCCCGTTTACAGCTTGCCTTGTCTCTCATACAGATGCCTTTGACAATGAACTCATATTAAAGACACTCCGTGAAATCATGGAGGGAAAAACTGTGCAGATCCCAGTGTATGACTTCGTTTCTCACTCCAGGTAATTCCCACCATTGGTTTGGTATGGGTACAGGATGGGTGCTAATCAGGGCCATACCTGCCTGTAGATAGGGAATGTCTGTGTCTCTTTGGAGGGGCTGATTAACTTTGTATCTTAAGATACTGTACGTTTGAAACTGTCGGGAGGTATGCTAAAGTGCAGTCTTGCTACTACTCACACACATAGATGTGCTTTACTATTTGTTAAACAAAATGTGATACAACCACCATATTGTGTAATCCTTGGTCAATAAAAATGTCTGTTTATAAAAAAAGTAACACAAACTCTGTGCATCTTACTTCTGCTTTTTTAAATTTTTTTTTTTCCTGTTTCGACTTTTTTTTGTACTCTTGTAGGAAAGAAGAGACCGTGACAGTGTATCCAGCTGATGTGGTGCTGTTTGAAGGAATCTTGGCATTTTACGTGCAGGATATCAGGGACATGTTTCAGATGAAGCTCTTTGTTGACACAGATGCAGACACACGACTTTCTCGAAGAGGTGAGGCAGTCTCCCACATTTCCATACTGACTGAGATGTAGGTTTTCCCATAGTCCTACATTGTACAGTTACACAAAAGCTTGTGTTCTTATTAATTATAATAGACTGGGATTAATGTTCTTAATGATTTTAAAACCTAAAGGGCCATTGCGGGTTCGGTTTATTCTTTTAGTGCCGTATAGACACAATGCATTTAATAAACCGAAAGGCATGCTTCTTAAAGTCCCTTCCGTTAGTGCAGATCCCTGGCTTTTAATCCTCCCATGCCCATGGCATTACCTTGGACGTACCAAAAAAATGGATTGATCTGACACTCCTCCGAAAAAAAAAAGTTTATTTTACTTGGATGCTCAGACACATGGCCACAATTTCACTTCAGAAATCTAGAAAATCAAGACATTAACACGTATGCTTGCGGGGATAATCAAGCTTCTGATGTCCTTAATTTCTGTTTGTGAATATGAGGGGAAGCACTTGTGTCTCTAATTCCTCCGAAACATAGGTTTAAAAAGGTCTTTGGTAGATATAGTTACATAGCTGAAAAGAGACAGTTCAGCCTTTCTTAGTTCTGTTTAAAGCACTTTCCAGTTTTTTTGCAACGAGCTAGGGAAATAATTAAGCTTGACCCCAGGATGGCAGTCCGATCTCTCTTTGGATCAAGAAGCTATGATATCCCTGAATATTATTTTTTTGCAAGTTAACCCCTTGCACATCTCCAACTTTGTGCATTCCTGTAAAATGTCCAGGATATCAATTTATTTTACAATTCATTTGACAATCCTCGCTCTCCCTCTTTTCAGTCTTCTAGCGAGGAAAATAAACAATAGCTTGGGAAGAAAGCAGGGGAGGCCAGTGGATAGGGAAGTCGGAAAGGAAATGGGTACTGGTGAGGCAAAATGATTTCAAACTTTATGGTTGGTAGATTAGATTAATACAATGGGCATTTAGGAGGCTGGGAAAGAAACATGGGCAGGGGGCAGAAGAAGAGACCAGGAAGGTGGAGCTAGTGTCTGGAGAAGACTAACTGCAAACAGGAAAGGCTATTGGAGGCTAAGAAGGGTATATTTGGAGAAGAGGTTGGGTAAAAACATGTGACTGCGAACATTACTCAACTTTCTCCTGCTCTTCTCTCTCGGATAGTCAGAGTATTCAAAGTAAATTTAAAATATAATGCCAAAGTGGCTGAATGAAAAGAAAAGCAGACTTAGAGAATTATTCAATTTTGACCTTAATTCACGTTGAATTCTCACATTAGAGAATATCCCTGAAGATGATGGGCGTCAATTTCGATAGTTTTTATGGGAGCCAAAAACTATTGTATTCTCTCTGGTGACCAAGCAGGTTTTTCAAGTTGTGATGTTCCTATACTGTGTTAATTAGCATATAGATAAAGTGCTCACAGTCACGGATGTTTGAATTGTACATTGATCTGTATCTGTGGGTGCTAGTGTTGTTTTGTTTTGTTTTGTTTTGTTTAATGGATGTGGGTTGGATGCTCATTGCCCACTGTATTTTAACACCTAGCATACTTTGTAAGACTTTTTTTTTTAGATGTTACGTGATGCTTTTTTTTTTTTGTCCCATTCAGTGCTCCGGGACATCAACGATCGAGGACGGGATCTAGAGCAGATTCTTACACAGTATATCACATTTGTAAAGCCAGCATTTGAAGAGTTCTGCTTGCCTGTAAGTAAAGTTAAAATAAAAATACATGTAAGGGTCCATTTACAGTCCAGCTATGTACCATACTTTGGTATTCTGGATGAGGGTTATTCACTAAAGTGAGAATTGAAAGTGAATTTAACATTTTCAGGACAGTAGCGGAACTGGGAGCCCTAGCCGACTTAGAGAATGTTTCCAGGTTGCCTGTCTTATCTTACATTTCTTAAAGGATCACTATAGGGTCTGGAACACAAACATGTATTCCTGACCCTATGTGTTAACACCACCATCTAGCCCCCCCTGGGCCCCTCATGCCTTCATAAATACAGCAAAATCTTACTGTATTTAAGCCTGAAGCTGTAGATCTACATGCTGTTTGCACCAGAAAAACAAGCTGTCTGCTGACCTCATCAGAAGTGGTGGCCTGGTCCAATCACTATGCTCCCCTATAGGATTGGCTGAGACTGACATAGAGGCAGATCAGGGGCAGAGCCAGCATGATTCAAACACATCCCTGGCCAATCAGCATCTCCTCATAGAGGAAAGTTCAGTGTCTGCATGCAGAGGGAGGAGATACTGAATGTTTGGATGCATTTTAGGAAGCCATGACCCAGGAAGGATCTCTAACAGCTATCTGAGGAGTGGCCAGTGAAGTTATCACTAGGCTGTAATGTAAACACTGCATTTTCTCTGAAAAGACAGTGTTTACAGCAAAAAGCCTGAAGGTAATGATTCTGCTCACCAGAACAAATTCAATAAGCTGTAGCTTTTAATGTACAGATAATATAGCATAATTCACCTTTCTTATGGTGTAAGCCAATTGTTTTTGCAGGTTACATGAGTTCTGTGATAGGCTGGATGTGCCCCTTCCTGGTTTATAAAAACTGGCAACATAAAATTCACGAAAAATAACAAATTGTAGTCACATTAGCGGGTGTCTGCAGTGTCCCATTAAGGCTTCTTAAACGCAACATTTCACAAACAACAGTTGGAAGTTTTTTGTTTTTTTTTCCTAAATGTTTTTGTGTTGTTTGCATGTTATTTTTTTTTTTTTGTTTGTTTGTTTTTTTTATGTAAATTGTCACTGGCTTTAAATCTGTTTTTGGTATAAATTTTTTTCTTTGTTTTCTAAGAACACTGTGTGCTTGTGAGGCAGCTTGCATATTTTCTATTCTTTTAATCCCTTTTATTTGTTTCTGATTTGTAGACCAAGAAATATGCTGACGTGATCATTCCAAGAGGTGCTGACAATTTGGGTGAGTGAGCAAGTTATGAGAGATGGACAAGCAGTCACTAGTCTTAAACAGTGATATCTCGCTTACGCAATACTTACTGGGCTTTCCCTGGTTAGCAATTTAACCACTCGAGGACCAAAGATCTATATCCCATCCTATCAAACTATTCTTTAAAGATCTTATTCCATAATGGAATATCCCGTTGTTATTTACAAATAACTCAGCTGAACTCCCAAAGCTTAATAAACCGGACATTCCATGCATAAGGTCTTTAGGTTGTCTGTTTTTCATGACTGCAGAGTGTAACATTTAGTTCCGAAGAGTTTAACAACGTTAAAGGGACAGTACAGTCTCCATAATATCATCTAAATTAAGTTGTTATAGTACCATGAAGCCCCCGAGTATATTTTTACCATAACGGGTTAAACCGTTCTCGAATGGTTTAATTCCAACGGTTGCCTCAAGTGCCAATCTCAAGGTGGCATACGACTTCTGAATCAGAGTTACAGGAGCCGTGGAGTGCCACCAAGCAGGTGTGCCGCTGATTGGCTAGAGCAGTCAGCTGACCACTAGCCAATCCAAAGCTCCCCATAAATAAGTGTTTTTTTTATTTTTTTATCTTTTTTATGAATGATTGGCTTAGTGTGTCAGGGCTTAGGGCCTGTGTGGACATTCTGATTGGTCTGGATTAGTGTGCATCTAATTATGACATTGCCTATCTTTTTATCAGAGTAGAAAAACTTTTTGT